AGAACTACACCTTAAATGTTTTCAACTATATACACACACCTTCCAGTAATAATGGCATTTCTCTCCAATACATAAAATATTTCAGAATGTTTCTACAATATATTTAATTGCTATGGATTGAGTAAAAATGAATGTGTGGAGTTCTGCTCATGCAAATAGAATCGCCCAACTGCTTGTTAGATGCCAGGAAGCACTTCCTGACAGTCAGGACCCCGAGGGTATGGAATGGGCTTCCCTGGGAGGTGGTTGAGGCCCCATCGGTGAGGGTGTTCAAAGATAGGCTGGACATGCACATGGTGGGCATGTCGTGAGTGGAGCTGGCTAGAGCCAGGGGTCAGACTGGATGGCCCGGGAGGTTCCTTCTGACTCGCGCTGTTTCTATGTTTCAGCCCTTTGAAAAGCCTTCCTATGGCTTTGAAGGAAGATTTCTTTCTGTCAAGGCCCATGTTCCCTGAGGAGCAATCCTCTGGTAGCAGAGGGCAAGGTCAGAACCAGAACCAGAACCAGGTGGGGCCTTCTCTCTCTCATTCTGCTACCTGCTCTCTTAAATTTGTCTCTTCCTGTCATCCTTCCTGTCTACAAGTTTGCCATGCCAAAACCAGATTAATCTTGCCAGATGTCTCTAATGACCCGTGCAGAGGGATCCTGAAATTAGGCAGATAGCAATGTTACCCAAGGGCCACTGACAACTACCATATCAAGGTTACTAGCTGATATGTTTCTCTTTAACAAAAGTGGGGCTAATAGTTAATAACATCACATTGCAGTACCTCAGAGCTAAGAACAAAATGCTTCAATAATTAAAATATAAACCCATCAGTATTATTTTTCAACAGAGTATTGATTTTTTTAGCTGCCTGTGGATTTTATGTTAGAAGGAAAGACACAGATAATTTGGAGTAAATGAAAGACAACTCTGAGCTTCCAAGCTAATCTTTTAGAGAATTTGGTTCATAGTCATTTAACTGTTTTTTTTAATTAGCAAAACCTTTAAGAATCATTCCTCAAGGAATGTTACACTGGTTGCCAGCTATGAAGTAGCACAAATCAATGGTGAAGTTGAATTTTAAACTGGGTTTAGAACAGTAACTGATACTATCAAATTCATTGACAAATTCAACAGTTATTATCAAATCCATCCATCCATTGCTGTCCTACTTTATGTATATGGGGAAATTTACAAAGCTAAAGTAAATAGCTGCTTAACGGATCTACACAGAAATCTTGTTCTCACAGCAGCATTTAATTGCTCTTAACTGTAAAATATTTTTCAATAGTGAGGATCACACTGAAAGGGACTGACTGATTAATCAGAATGTCATTAAACAGAAATAAAATGTAAGTTCACATAAATAAAGGGTATTGAAGTAAAGTCAGCATTTTAAGAGTATCATCCCTGAAAATATCCAGTAATCTGGAATCTTGAGCTGCTTCTCCTACATTGTGACCCACAAGTGTAGCTCCTCCTTAGTTACTGCTTATCGGAAATCCAACATGAACTGGCCACCTGAGGGTTGGTATTGAGAGGATGTTGTTGTGCTGTATCCTTTGCCCATGGCAATAACAGCAAAACAGACTGGAGGTGAGAAATATGCTGCAGTGACTATATAGCAATCCAATATAGCTTTCATCCCACTGGCCATTTTTATACTCAAGCAAGAAGAGAGTAATCTCTCAGATGTACAGGAATTCTGCCATCTTAGTTAAATAGGAAGGAAAAGAAAATGGAAGGGTGAACAGAAAGTATTTGCACTTTCCTTCCAGCTGGAAGCTGTTCTAAGGGACTTTGTCTAATCTCTGTTGGAAAGTGATACAAAGAGTATTCTAGAATGATCTAAGTATAAAGTAAGTGCAGTTTTGCAGCTGTGATGAAGATAACATTAGAAGATCATTAGAAAACTTGGTGATTAGAGGCCATGAGGACACACATGACAAGGAGAGGAATGTTTTTATGCATATCAGCACAGGTATACCCTAGTGGTATTCTGAAGTTCAGAAATTTACTGTGAGAGTTTCAAAGGCATATCCAAATACCAAGGAAATGGTATTGATCCAATCAACATATCAGTTTTCGCAGACTTCTCCTCTATCAGAGGAAGGGCTTTTGTAAACTACCAGCTCTTATGTGCCCATTCAATGTGAAGTCACTTTAAAATACTTTGCATTACAACACGGATCACTCACAACAATATCTGGTCCCTTTAAAGTATAGGGAGCTTCATACTTCTATTTTATTTTTTCAAATAATAGTTCTATAGTTCTTTAGCTCTATCATTCTCAGGGTACTTTCAAACAAACAAAAAAGTCAACAGATAATACAATAAAACAAAACCAAATTTTACTAAAAACAGCTGGAAAGGATGAAAACAAAACTCACATTATAAAAGGATCAAGTACATAAGCAGGCCTTTGCATGAGAACTGCATCAGGTGAACCTTCCTGGCAAAAGCATTCCACAGAGGTGGTTGCTCAACTGGGAAAGCTCTTTCTTCAGACACCTTCCACCTGATTTCTAAAGGTGGATGTCACCCAGCAAAGGGCTTCAGAACATGAACTTGAGTGTTCCATCAAAACATGGAGTGGCCAAGGTCATATTTCTGCAGCTTTTGATCCCCTATTCAATTTCTTAAGTTGCTCATCTTAAAATGTTACTAGCCACTTATTTCTTATATCTGTAGCTTTCGTTCCTAAACTGACTTCAGCTAAATAGTACATGTGTTTATCCTATAATACTTCTCTTAAAATACACAACCTTCCACCGCGCAAAATTATATCAATCTGAAAGCTAGTAGGGTGGGAAAGAGAAATTAATTGAAAGATTAGAAGTAAAGCATACACCTATTTATGAGAAGCAAGAAATGTTTTTGAAACCCAAACCCTCTCATTCTATGCACTTAAAAAGCAAATTAAAAAAGACTTCTCTATTGTTTCTGTGCAGCAGGATGGGGAAGAGTAGAAATGTGAAAATACTTTCCTTCTGTACATACATGATCTGTTCTAGGACTGGATGAGGCAAAAGGAAAACACACAGCATGACAAAACCACAGCAGGCTTACCATGTGAGTGTTGGCTGTCATTAGCTGAGGATAGGAAGAGAAGCAAGTAGCAAAAAAGGGAAAAAAGCAAGACACAAATAAAATAGACCACATAAAATGTTAACATGCAAATAAAAAGCTGAAGGACCTCAAAATTAGATTCAGTGTCACTTAACAAGTACATAAAAGGGCTCCGAATGAATGTATGAAGCTTATTGCTATGAACTCACAATATCCATTTCTTAAAATGGAAGCTATGAGTAACTCAAACAATTGAAAATATAATGTAGGTATTAACGACAAAATGAACCACATAAATAATATATGGTTCAAAGAAGAAACTCTTTCTCCCTAATGGTACTAAAGCTACTTACCATAGCTCCTTTTTATTATTTATTTTAGACATTTCTAGGCTATCATATAACCACACTGGTTGCTCACAAAGATCAAAGTTTAATCATGCAACATTAAAATACCCCAATCCCATAAAACAATAAATTACAGCTTAAAATATATACAGCAGAGAGGAATAAAACCAGTTTTACAGCATCACTGGTTTATCAAGCTGGTTTATCAAGCATTTAGTACATTTACTCCCACTCGGCTTCATCCTTCCTAAAAACATGTAAAAGTAACAAGCAAAAAGTAGCTTACTGCAATGCCCAAACCTGGACTCCTGGTTTTTCGTTCCCAGACATGTCATGATAGTTTCTTGCTAGCCTTCACTAATTTCTACTTGTTTGGGAGCAATAAACAAGGATCCTGGGTTTGGACTTCACAATAAGCTACTTCTTCCTGGTTTGCTTTACCTTCCTGCATGAAGCAAGAGTGGCTGCTGATCATTCACAGTAGGCTAGGAATCCTGGTTTATTGTTATGTACATCCCTGGTCAGTAGATTTAAATTCAGTTTTAAGTTCACAACTTTACAAGGCCTAAGAGAAGCAAAAGGTTTTCAGTTGGTGCTGAAATGACCATAATGAAGATGCCAGGCTAGTCCCTCTGGGGAGAACATTACATAAAATGGGTTCCACCAAGAAAGCCCTCTTTTATGTGGTGGACACCCCTTGAATAGGGCTTCTGAATATGATAACAAATTGTGGGTAGTTGTATGTGGGAGGAGATAACTCTTCAAGAAATTTAATCTGAAGGTGTTAAGGACTTTAAAACTCAAAACCAGTCCTTCAAATTAAGTCCCTGACATATTGAATCAAGACTTTACCATTCCCTTCCAACATTGCATTGTCAAACAAACTTTCCTGCTTACAAATAGCCATGTTAACTAAATCTAGGTTATGCCACACTAGCTTATACCTTATGAAAGAAAAAAGGACACAATGAACACTTGGGTGCAACAATCATAATGTCTTGATCTTTCCAAGGAAACTTTACTCAAGCTAGATACAAACCTGTCCATTACTGGTCACAGTTGAGTTGTCAAACAAGAAATAGGCACCAAAGAAAAAGACCACAGCATCAAATACTCCCAAGAATGTCCAGTAAATGAATATACGCCAGCGCAGGTGGGCATTCTTGGCAACATCCCTGAATAATGACAGAGAGATTAATTCTGAAGTGTTAAAATAAAGAAATATGGAATTACAAATGTTTCCCTGAGTGACAGGAATGGTCTAAATGTTTCCATGTGATGGTATCCAGATGTCTAATTCCCTGTGTTGGAAATACAATTGGAAAACTATACTGAAGTCCTTTTCAAAGGGAACATTCTGTACATTGATGACCCCAACTTAAGTAATAAAAAGCAACACTAGAGGTCTCCAAAAGATTTGATTTCATTTCAAGATGCAGTTCTTGTACACTGAAAAAGCTGCAGATTTAAAAACCTAGACAAAAAACACATACAGTTCTTGTAATATTTGCTATACAGCAGCAGGTCTTGGAATTCTAACAAGAATTTTGTATATGTCAATTACATGACTGAGATAAGTTATTCATCAGGGATTCAACTAGCTTCATCCCTGTGAAATAGGACTAGGCTGAGATACAGTGACTCACCCTAGGTTATCCAGGGTAAAAAATAGTCCTGCAATACCCAGCATTCCCTGTCCAGCCATACTGGGAGTTGCAGGCCTTTTTGTCTAAACATACATAGAACTGCACCCCCAGTAAGCTTTGTGGTTGATGAAACATTTCCTTGGTTCCAACAACTACTTTATACTGAGTAACTCGTGCCACACGCTACTTCTCATAAATGGAATATAATGGTACTTCAGTTACTGCAGGTTTAAGCAAATTAACAAAGCCTGCACAAAGTGTCTTTGCTGGGACATTTTCCTGCAAAAAAAGAGTGTCACACAGCAAATGGAGAAGCAAGTCCACTGTTGCTGTCACTTATTTCACAGAAAGAATACAGAATTCTTCCAATGGTGGTGTCTGCAAATAATTTGTTTTACAGATTCCATCACTAAAAAGTTAATCTGCTCATATTTTTTTCCAACCCCATGAGGTTTATTATATAGCTAAGAGCTCTTAGGACAATACACAGTAAACACACAAGAAAAATAGGCAGTGTGGTAAGTGTGATTCTTCCAAGTGGTCACCTGTGAACTTATACATATAAGATTATCTGTCTGTGCAGTAGTCATTTGGAACATTCTAGAGCTAAATGGAGCTTAGATGGGAGCTTCACCCACCTCTTCTGTATACACTCTAGGCAGGGGATCTCAATTTTCCAAGATAAGGATGGCAGAAGATTTCTCCCAGATAGTTTATGTGGAATGATGTAAAATGCATCAGTATGGTAGTCAGTGGACCTAGATCTGACTGCACTTAAAGACCAGCTCAATTATTGGGATCAGTGGGACTTTAATAATAGGCACCATTCTCAAGATTAGTTCACCATATGACCTGATGTTGTCCAATGCAGAAAGAGGAATTTGATCCCCGCAACAGCGGCTGGTGAAAAGGATGGTGCTTGATGGAAGAGGTAGAGGATGCGTCTAAGCAGCAGTCAGTCGGTGTGTACTAGAAGCCAAGAATGGCTGGGTGAATTGCACGCCAGAAGTGACTGTGTGGCAGCTAGTGGATATGGAAGTGTTTTCAGGATTGCATCCTAAAGAAAAGTTGGCTGTGGGAGAAGAGTTAGGTGGTAAGCTTGTGAAGCCTGTGTCAGGTTCTATTAACTAGGTTTCAGGTGGTTTAGCTACAGTGTAACAAGGTGTTGCTTGGGCAGACGTCACTTGAGATTGCTCTATATTATGAGGTGAATGGGAGCACTGATGATGGGGATGATAGTGTGGTTAGTTACTATCGCTACAGTCTTAATGTTGTATTCATGTATTTATTTAATTCATATACCGGCCCAACAGCTGAAGTTTTCTTTATCAGCACTAACTGGTCCTGAGAGCTCATCTACGGCTTTTCCATGAATATTGTATGAAGGTGCAGGAAGCCACCAAAAAAGATAAGGAAGATGGCAATGTGTGTTGGTACTGAGGAGAGCTATACTTTTTTAAATCATTTGAAATCATGTTCTTATACCAAATCTCGGCACTGGATATTGTCCAGGGAATTACCAGTCCTATGGGAGTTGCAGTTTCTCTAATATCAGTGACATGCGTGCATGGGAGTTTGAAGAGCATTCTGTATCAAAGGATGCCAGACTGGGGCTGTAGTAGGCTTCAGTTTGACACAGGACTCAGGGTTTTGTTTTTTTAGTCAATCCTGGAATCTCAGGGTTAGCAAAATGTTTATTTCAGGGCTTGGTCTGTTTGACCTGTTTGTACTGACTGTTGGCACCAAAGTGCTGGTCTCAAGCTGCTGATCCAGCAGGATGCATGAAACCATCAGTGCTGCTGGGGCTAGAAAGTGAGGACAGCTGCCCTGGAGTTTTTGCCCCTGAAAAAACTAAGAAGCAGAACCAGTTTCCTGCAAATGAGGGCCAAAGCAGCATAAGAAGGGCTTGTGTCAGCATTAAGGCATGGAGAGATGTCATTTTGCTTCTCCTCGCCTATGCGAAGGCCTGACAGCAGATGCTGGGGTCTGTTTTGTGTGCCTTGCCAAGGCAAAGGCGGAGGTTGGGAATGTCAGTCAGTCAACAGTATTTTCCTGCCACAACAGGTGCAAAAAATTTCAACCTAATGAAAAAAGAAAGGAAGAAAAAATCAGAGAGAAAGACACATAAGAAGAAAGTGGGGGGGGGGGGCAATAGTAAAAGATCACTCTGCTTAGGAACCCACGAGGGGCAAGATGATTCTTACTTAGCTGTGAGGTGAGAGAATGTTCCAAATGCTGATGGTTGAACAAAAAGGAACTGAGAAGCAAGCAGGGGCCATACCTGGAGTGTTTGCAAAGGAGATGGGTGAATCTCCTGCTTCAGCTCATGTTCCAAAGGCCTGTTCTGAGCAGGCACACAACCCATATGCGTGAGTCACTGAGACCATGAAGAAGAATCGTGTATATCAAATCAGAAACAGTGTCACAGAAGAAACAGTTAGCAGCACCTCAACTGTAGAACTCTCTCCCTCCTAAGAGGACCCTGTAGCTACTAGAGAGTCCCTAGTTTGCAAGTAGTTTGCAAACAAGCGAATATTGACCTTTCTGTGCTCTGAAGTAGTTTCAGGCACTGATTTCCTTTTTGGACCCCCCCTAAATTTGCAGGGGATTGTAGGACTCAGCCATGTAACCCATGCAGTGCATATTGCCCACCCCTGTCCTACCCCAACATTTCATTGCTTGCCCCTCCCTCAGGGATGGAAATTGAGTGAGGTGCTACTAACTTGTCTTAAGTGCCTGTTCAAACAACGTTATTAACACTACCTGTACAGTGAAGGGTCTCTCTTGAGTGTATCTGAACTGACATGTTGTTCCATTAGACTATACAACAGGATAGGAAGAGAAGTGAAGCTGATATTGTACAGAGTAAGATATGCGGTATCATATAAAGGCTGCAAAGGGAAAACAGATTATAATTAACCAGGTATAACTCTGGCAGTGTAATGCTAAACATTTAAACAGGAAGAAAATAGCAAAATAACCTTGAAGATCTTCCACTGATATACAGTAATATCATGCAGTATAGTATTTATTAATGTTCCTTATCCAATAATAATTCCTTAGTTATTCACTAAGGTAATGCGTCTCTGTTTATGCAGCCCCAATTCCTAAAATCTGATTAGCAAACAGTGTGCTAAGAACACCAGGCATAGTAATAAATAAGTCCATTGCAGAGTCCCAAAAGGACACAAGCCAAGCAAAGTGAAGCTGTATTAGTCCCACTGATTTTAATGGGAAATATTTGGCAATCTATTTCACTCTTCCATTGAAACCTACAGGACATTAAATGCTTAGCATTTGACTGAATCAAGCCAAAGTTCTCATGCAGCGACTGAAATCATCAAGTAACACAAAGCATGGCAGTTCTATGTTGGGTATCATATGAGTCATCATGGACTGAGTGGGATTTGTGAGAGAGGAACCGGGAGAGTATGATACAATTTGCTTGTTTAGTTTGTTTTGTACCCTGCCTTTCTTCCAAGAAAAAATGCACTCAAGGCAGCTACCACCACTAATATAACATAATTAAAAGAATAAAACAAATGCATTAAAATACAATGAAAAGCACAACGGTGGCGAAACAAAACATCATCCAACCGCAGATTCACTTATATGGCAAAGGCCTGCCTGAATAAAATTTTCTTAGCCTGATAGTAAAACGAGCAAACAACTGTTTCTTTGCAGGGAGAGGCCACAGAGCAGGGGCCCTCAAACTTTTCCACCAGGGGGCCAGCTGAAAGGTGCCGGGGCTGGGTGCGGCCGGAAAGGTGGTGCCGGCGGTGTGCGTGGGCCAGCAAGGGGGTGGGGGTGGTGCGGGGGGCACGCAGCGAAGTGTGCGTGCGCGGCGGGGGAAGCAAGGTGAGGTGAGGCGGGGGTGGGCACGCATCGAGAGGCGGGCGCACAAGGCAGCAGCTTGCTCACTCGGAGATTGCTTTCTCTGAGCAAGCAAACTGCTGCCCCCCCACGTGCGGGGCAAGGTGGGTGGCGGCGGGTGTGTGTGTGGGCACGTGCACGGTGGGTCCAAATGGGCATGGCGGGCTGGATCCGGCCCCCAGGCCACAGTTTGAGGACCCATGCCATAGAGAGAGGCCATAGAGAAGGCCTCTCACCTCACCATCAAATGTGCCTCTGAAGGCAGCAGTCTCAAAATAATCCTTTCCTGGGGATCCTGAGCCCTGGGCAGGCCCAAATGGGAGAAGGAAGCCCTTCGGGAAGCCTGCTACCTTCCAAGCCATGTAGAGCTTTACAGGTCATAACCAGCTCTTTCAATTCCAGCCAGGAAAAGACCAATAATCCCCGAAGCTAATGTAGCAAAGCAAAGCTGAGGTAGCTCCCAGTGACTGGCCCCAGTCAACTTCCTGGCTGCAGTGCTCTGGAGCAGCTTAAGTTTCTGAATTTAAGTTAAGAAGCCCACATAGAGCATGTTACAGTAGTAGCCTAAAAAAGATACGACTATGGCATGCACAGCCATGGCCCGATCAAGACATCAAGGAATAGGCACAAATGCACATCTGGCCACTGCAAATGGCTGGGCGTCCAGTCCCAAATTGTGAGGCTGAGTCTTGTGTGCAAGTGTGACCCCCTCCAGCAAAGGTTGTATCCCTATTCCCTGATCTGTTTTTTGACTCACCCAAAAGCACTTCTGTGTTGCCTGAATTAATCTTCAATTTATTTTCCCTCATCCAGTCCAACACCAGTATCCAACATAGAATTAGAACTAGAACAGCTTCTTTGGACTTAGCTGGAAAGGAGAGACAGAGCTGGGTACCATCAATATACTGGTTGCCCCAGACCTCAGAACTCCAGGCAATCTGTCTCAATGGTTTCATGTAGATGTTAAACAACAAGGGCCAAGATGGATCAGTGAGGGAGACCACAGGCCTGTGCCCACAATCTGAGACTGCCCTTCCAGGAAGAACCAGTGCCTCCTAGTCCCATCTCTGGCAGATAGGCCAGAAGAATATCATGGTCAATGGTACTGAAAGTTACCAGAAGGCCCAGCAGTACCAACGAAGACACAATGACTCTCTTGGGCCCCTCAGCCAATGCTTTTTAAACCTGCCTCTGAGTACTTCCATCAAATGAAGTGAAATGGGTACTAAGGAGAGGACCTTTTCCGTTGGTATCCTGGTTGCAGAATACTCTTTCCAGACAGGCTTGTCGAGCACTGACTTTGTGGTCTTTTCAGTATCCGGTAAAGACCCTTTTATTCTCAGAGGCCTGGCTGTCATAATTATTACTTTGTTTTTATTCTGCTTTAAACTTTCAACATTTTAATATTATGTTTTATTATGTTATTGTATCTTATAGGTTTTATGAACTGCCTAGAAAGGTTTGGCTATTGGTTGGTATAGAATAAAAGTATAAAAAGTGATCAAGGTACAGTTAAAATTCTCCTAACCAAATAAAAACATATTTCATATTGGTTCAGTGATTTAAAGGGAGAAAGAGAGTTCTCAAATACCTGCTGTGAAAACCCACAGAAGAACTGGTATAAAAACTGAGGGAAAATGAAGCAGACATTCTGGAAGACAAAAGCAATACATGCTGATCATCATTACCATTTCCTCTCTATATTAATGAAATTAAATCAAAGTTTTAATTCTATTGAACATACAATATAGCTTTTAATAAGAAGGTAAAACCAAACTTATGAAATCACAACTTTTCTGTACTATACTAATTATTATGGCAGTTGTTGGAAGCTGTATATGTAAAAACAAGTGGTGACTGATTTTGTTTGCAGTAGCTTGTGTGCCACTTCTCTCTCCCTGGAAAGAGAGATAAACTGGTTTTGCAGACATGCATGGTAAAAGATAGGGTCTGGGAGAAAATAAAAACATTTGTGAGGAAAAAGTGAGGAGAATCAGGTCAAAAGTGGCAATAAATGTGCAAGTGCAAAAAGTGCAGCCAATGTGGCCCCCAGTACGAGGGTGCAGCTGCAGAAACAGAATGGTGGGGAAGGGTGGAGGAAGCACTGCATTTGTTCTTATTGCTGTAAAAATGTGCAATTGTGCATCCACAGTGCAATACTGTGCACCTGTCTTTCTATAATGCCCACATAAGTAAAGAAATGTGGTCACACTAATGTACCAGTACTAACTGGCTGATAACCAGAAACACATAGAGTATTCCCTGCTGTTTCTTGTCCTAGAAAGTAGACTGCAACCCTCTAATTTTCCAAGTAACTTCCTTCAGTATTGAAGCTTCGGTATTGCACTAGGGCAATCTAGAGCAAAAGATACTCAGTCAAGTAATGTTTCAGTGCTGCATTTGAGCTTGCTGTTCAGATAGGTTGTTCGCAGGTTGATGTTGCTCTAAGCATTGTTGTTATGAAAACCGTGTACTAGCCTAGGCTAGTTCCAAAGGATATTGACACTATTCTGAGAGTGGATTCTAAATGTGGTGGCACAGGAGAAATATGTCCTTGACTTTGGACTGCACCTGTTTTGTATATTGCTTATTATGCCCCATATGTTGCTGTTTCAGATGCATGGGGCAAATTAGGTATTTTATTTATTCCATGTATTAATGTATGTATTAGCATATCAATGGAACAAAGGACGAAATAAAAATAATCAGGCTGAGGATCACTGTTGTGCTGAGATGAACAGCCCCCTGGGGGAAAGAAAACATTTATGTGAAAGGTGCTGATTTATTGGCACAACACACCTGAGCTTTCTATTTTACATTACAGGATTGCAAGGCTAAGGACTCTGTTGTTGTAAGCATAGCAAAATACAGATAACAGTGTTCATGAGTACAATATGGCCCATCAGTGTAGACATAAAAACAAATGATCTGTCTTTGATTAGCTTCATCAACTGACATTAGAAGCTGATTCATGTTGCAGGTATTGGATTGCTTGCTCTTTTATTTACTGCATTAATAGATATTCTAGAAGTAAGTGGTTTCAGGACTGCAGTTTTTTGTGACCCAATCTGAAGGTTGCTGTGCCAGCAAATCAATGCAAAGGATGGGATGGGCCCACCATGTGCAACAAAACATCTTAGCATGAGTGAATCATCCGCAGAAATCTTCAGGGCTGGGGCTTAAGTCATCTTTACATTTGAAATGCTCCTTAAGTCTGATGTGAGGAAGCAGAGCAGAAGGAAATAAACTGAAATTACTGGACATGAGATCACAGAAGATCCAGAAAAGGGGATGAAGAAAGGAGCAAATTTTGTCAGTATGGCTTGGATTCAAAAACCCCAATGCATAGAAAGCTGACTCACAAGTTCTGCCAATCCCCAATACCTGACTCCAGAGTGTTAGATGACCCTCCAGATAATCGTATGCAGGTACACCCTACACACATGCACATGTGCTTGTGTGTGGAAAGAACACTGTGGATATCAGGAGACTGATGCTTCTTTGCATGAACAGGAGTTACTTTTGGCCAAATGTTGGAATCTTTAGAACAAAGCAAATACTGTGAAAATAAGGGGCCTCTGTTAACAAGAGCCAGAACAATATATCACCCGGTGCTTGCACCTAGTACAAGACAAAAAGAAGCAATGCTGACCTACCTTATAAAAGAAGTATTGCACAAGTTCAGATATTCTGACATAATAAAAATGTCCATGAACAAGCAACATTTTTTTCAAATGTTTAAATTTGGGTATTGCATAGTCACTGTTTCTTGCAGCTTGACGGCCTTCTTTTCCAATAATGCCTAGAAGAAGAAAGTGATAGAAGCTGATGAAGCAATGTGAAATGATGCAGTGAAATTGAGTTGATGATACCAATAATTAGATTTCCTCATGGTGTAAATTCAATTACATACAATGTACCTCGAGAAAACATGACACTGAGAAAAAGCTCTGAATTCTTTAAATTAAATCACCGATATCCAACTTTTATGTTCCAAGTCTTAATTGTCTACTTACACTGATGTGGCAAACTTGTTATTCTGGTAAACCTTTCCATGTGCCCAAAAGGAAAGAAAGACAGAGACAGGAGATGCACAAACAGATGGACAGACACTATTCGGATTATCATGTCTCTGTTTAATAAATTAAAATATGAAAGAGGCTTAACCGCCTTCCTTCCTCACTTACCAGTATGTTGCTATCAAAAACAGGAAGTCTTCAATTAACCATAATTTCCCATTTTGTTCAGAATAAGGCAGGAGCTTTAACCAACTTCAAACATTGATTAATTGAAGACTTCCTGGATTAAGGGGCACCATGAGGTTGGTGAATGCAGGTTCAAGGCTCATAGGTATCTCAATTTATTAAGCGAAGATATGGTCATCCAAACAGTCATTCTCTTTCTTGCTCCCCCTCTAGTGTTAGAGAATGTATGTCTTTATTTATTTTAAGGCATTTCTATCCTGTCCTATACAAAAGTCTCAGCATTGGACCTAGGAAGTTCTCATATTTGTGCCTTGGCTGCTCATTAAGCCTTGTAGCTTCATGGTGATATTTCTAATACTCTAAAATAGCCTTCCCCAGACTGCAGCTCCCATCATCCCCAGCCAAACCATTTGAGGATGACTGGAGTTGCAGTCCAACATTTCTTAAGGCTACTCCCAAGTATTTTCCTCCTCCACCAGCAAACAAGAGCCGTGCTTCATTTGCCTCCAATGTGTACAAAGCACTCTGTAGGCCATTCACCATCTTCTATGCAGAAGTGAAATGGAGACTAAGCCACTGATGGAAAAAATACAGATTCTTCCACAATAGATACAGATCTGCATCCTTATCAACATAAACTGACAGCTGCTTCCAGAAGCAGTCTGATTCAATAGCACAGCTTTTTAAAATAAAGTCTTCTAAGCCCTTTTACTTGGTTAGAAGTGGAACCTAGCAGTCCACTTACCTATGCCAACATGAGCTTCTAGGATCATACTGACATCATTTGCTCCATCACCAATTGCTAATGTGATGGGGTGCTCCTTTGACCATTTTATTAATTTTACTATCTAGAAGAAAGAAGAAATACCATTACAAAAGCTTTTCTGTAATATTGTCTTAAAATTCTTAAACTTAAAAAAAAACCTATTATTGAATATTTGTGTTTCTTATTCTAATAAAATTCTGTTTACAAAGTGTGATAAACCATCCAGAGAGTTTCAGCTATTTGGTGGTCTAAACAATAACAACAGCAACAAGTCTTTGTTTTCTTTTGAAACTTGACCACAGTGTGAGTGACTGTAGTGGGCAGGGAGAGACGATGGCACCAAAGAATCATTCAGTTTTCCAGATGGGGTGAAAGATACACTGCAAAACATATATTTGGGCTTGTTCGTGTTTCACTTCTTCAGGGAACTCCCTTACCCCTCTGCTTAGTATGAGTAGAACGTAAATGGAACTACATTGTGTTTATTTGACAAGACTGACAGAAAAATTATTTTTCTAGGAACAGTTGAACTGGTCAGGGAGATGCACAGCATTCAATATATACAACAAAACACAATTAACTTTTTACTTATTTCCCAAAGTAAGAGGAAAAAATAGATTGCAGTGAAAATTTGCCCAAAATCTAACAGGTGTTCAGTAGGATATTTTCACAGCTATATTACTAATATCAACAGTTCATAAAACCCTAATCAGCCAGATGATTTTAAAAAGAATTTCCATTATACCTATCCTTGCCTTCCTTTGGTTTTATTTTTCTGTGAAGGAAATAAAAGCTTCCGCATGAGGTTCAAGCTAGGCTAAAAAAGCAACACTGTTCCTTAATTAAATAAGCCCATTTTTGGTGGTGTGTCAGTCCTTGAAATCTGGTGGAAATACACATGAATCAGTGGCACAGCAGGATGTCATTTTAATGTACCATTAACTAATTGCTTTCTTACAGAAATTCTCATTTCATTCATTTCTACTTGTTTTGATTTTTGCTTCCACTGTCAAGGTGGGTGTTCAACATTTTAAAATTACCAAAATACATTATGTGAAGGCTTTAAATATTTACATAAACATGCATTTGTCTTGTAATTGGAACAAATGAAACACAAACCTGTGCTTTTTGCAAAGGAGCCATGCGACAGCATAAAACTGCACTGCAGTTTCTACAGATTTCAAGGAAGAGCTCTCTGTAGTTACCAGAGCTCCCACCTTCCCGTGGTTTCATTATTAATGATAATGCTGCTCCATCAATAATTAAACCATAATCTTGCATTTCAGCTGAAAGCCTGTTGAGTGACAAAAATACACAAATTAAGGCTGACATTGCAGTTTAACCAATCGTGTTTTATAAAGTTATCATTTCGAAAACTAGGCAGATATAAAGCACACTCAGATATTTTACAAATCTTGCCATTTTAAGTAAGGGCAAAGCAGATTTATTTTTCTGGCAACTATCACAGTGGTGAGAAGAAGCATTACCCTTAGATTGCAATCCTCTACTCCCTAAGGTCATCCTCGGAAGGCATATCCTTTCTCAGCTCTCCTACTTTTATCACACAGTATAAAGCCAAGCTATTTTTACATTTGCTCTGCCAATGGAATCATCTGGTATCACTTTCACTTGAGCAGCAGACACCACAGCATCCTCATTCTGATGGGATGTACCTGCTTCTTTTCTGATGCTGAGAAACGGCCACAAAAACAAAACAAAAGGCAAGGAGCAAGTGGGGCCAAGCTGAGCAGCTACTGTTAGTTGTGCTTTGGTGGCCAACATTCATAAGAAGCACAGAAGCAGAGATGGACATTTGGAATTTCTGGGTGGCACCAGCTGATCAGCATGGCTACTGTACTGAGTGTTTGCGTGAATTGCAGATTGCAAAACACCCCAACAAACATTAGGGTCAGGCCAGCAGCTAAGCAAACAGGGAACCCTCAGGAGGGATGCATTGTTTTAGTATTCTGTTTAGACTTTAGCAGTGCCAGATCAACCTAGATGCCTTGTCAAGAGGACTAGCCCAATCGGGATTTCCATGTTCTAGGAAAAGATGTGTGACTTGTAGGAAAGTACTGGTTCAACCTTGCTGAAACTAAACTGGTACAGCTCGGCCCAGTGCCTAAATAGGACACCATCTGGGAACCTCCATGTACACTATCTTAAATTCCATGGAAGGCTAATGTTATATAAATGGCATGCAGTAAAACAATAAAAATAAAATATTTCTGGTTCTCAAGAGGTTCTCATAAACATTATATGTGACTACATCCTACATTCCAAATGTGGACCTGTAAGGCACAAAGCACTTTCCTTTGCTCTCAGTTGTTTAACACAGAATTTGAAATAAGTATTTGCATATTTCGGGATGCAGTGTAAGTTCCTGCGGTGCTAAGTATAAGACACTTGGGCACTGCAACAGAAGTTAATGGGAAGCATGGGGATATCCAGTGAAAAATTAAGCTAAAGAAATTCTGCAGCTAATGCTCCAGAGTCCTTGTTGGTCTTGACAGATATTACAGTTTGTAATTAGAGGGATACTGGGAATATAACTGGATGGAATAGCACTTTAGAAGATCAAAAATACATTTCACAGAGGGAGAAAAAACACCCAATTGATGACAGCACCTCGAGTCAGTAAAGGAGCAGTTTGCAAGATATGCCTAATAAAATGGTCTCTAAAACATTTATTCAGCTCAGTGTTGCATAATTAACACTATGGATATAAACTTCATTTTACTATTTCTTAAAGCTCTTTTCTATTTCATTACTGAACCAATATCAGAAAGCAAAGGAAGGCTGCTTTGACTTGGAAGGTGCATTTTCTACATACCCTGAGAAGGTGTCCCGTGTTAAGCTACCACTGTGCCTTAGGACAGTTTTGCTTAATTCAAACAACACATCATGCAAACTCTGTTCCTCTATTTTCTTAGTAGTTAACTCAAGTATTTGAGTATTTCTTCTGAACAGTTTGCAGGCATAGCAGGCAGCAGCGGCAGTCTCCATTTTGTCTCCTGTCAGAACCCAAACCTTGATGCCAGCTTTTTGCAGGGCTTCAATTGTATCAGCAGCTTTTTCCTGTAATCTTAGAGATACCACAGTTGCAAATAATTATCGACAGAATAAGAAATAAAAAATTTAGTAGACTTCTAAAAGGTTTCTTCCATATTGGAAATCATGCTGGTAAAAGGAGTTCAGACTTGAGGACTCTTTCTTGCCATTAAATATATTATTTATTTTGTTAATATCAGATTGCTCAATGGTTTTAATCTTTATTGACTGAAAGGAATTGAGATGTGTTGTTCCAGAGAAGCTGCCTCAACTTATCTTTAGTGACTTTGGCTGTTTGTTTCAAAGCAGATATCAGTGTAAAGTCACACTAATGACTATATGTTTTATCCTGCAATGTTAGGAGGCAAATAAAAACAAAACTTTTTCCCTTTGTCCTGACCTTCTGTGGCTCAGCAGTCAGATTTCTCCATTCCCCACCTTGTTAAAGGGAAACAGAGATTAACTGTCAAGCTTCATTTTCCTTTAGTATGATGGGAAGAGCAGTTTGACCGTTCCTGAGCCCATGAACCTTGGAATGAAAGGAAGAAGTTGTTCCCCAACAGAGAACAAAGCGAAAAGCCAGAAAAAGGGAACGATCTTTCTGGGAAGGGCCCGCTTGACAAAAGATCCCTTGCACCTTTGCTTTCGATGGGTCGCTCATCTTCCAAGAGCTGGTCATTGAAAGCAAGGGAAGGAAGACATTGTGGGGTGGACACTGCTCTGCACTGTTCCAGGCAAAGCTGGAATTTTGCCGTCACATGTCAGGGAATGATCCCTGCTTATACAACTAGAACTTAGGTAAAAAGATTTTGCAGCCATTTGTAGGTACGAACAATCATTAAAAACAATGGGCAGGCACTCTGAAGGGGTGGTTTGTGCCTCCCCCTTAAAGGGGTAATTAAAACTGCTTCTATAATCAGATTTTGCCATGGGGGAGGGATATTTAAGGGACAGTCACAGTGAACAAAAGTTGGCTTGGAATAATGGCTGTCAGAGAGGGGAGACGCTTTCTTCTCCACAGATCCCTCTGAGATGGAAAAACAAGGGGGGGAAACAGGGAGAGAACTAAGTACCCATAGTGAGCCTGGTCATCTGTCAGGGTCATCATGGGTTCTTCACAAGACAGCCAGCCCACCATGTCTTATTATCAAAGTAGGCTGTGGGTTGTTCTTAACTCAGACAGTTGTAACTTGGTGACTGCCTGTACCTGACTTTTATGTTATGCCTCCAGCTGTACTTACTATTTACTAGCAAGTAGGCTGGTGGCATGTTGCCATTTTCAGCTACTGTAAGTCAGTAAGGTGCTTGAAAAGCAACATAAAATGTTGTTGCTCATTTGAATTTGAATATGCTCTCTGGCTCTTCTCAAAATTAGGATCATATTGACAAAAGTAGAAGCAAAAGCAAAACACGAAACAGCTGTCTATTCCAAGCCAAACAACCTGTTTCCCTTGACTTGTAAGCTAATACCTATGAAGGCTCGATTAACTCGGCTACACAAACAGGGTTAAAACAATCACAAGGAACTTTTGTGCTAAGTAAAAGCTAATCCACTCCAATAGGTTGATCATGTACAATTGCACCTGCTCATATTCTCTCCTTGTCAGCCTTGCCCATCCTGTTTAACCCTCTCAGGAATGGGTTTGTGTTTTGTTCTGTTTTTTTGCTTATACAGCTCTATGAGCCACAGCATATAATGCTGCTGCTGAAGGCTAATAGTGAAGTGGTGACAGTAATAATAGCAGCAAGAGAGAAGGACTTTATAATTTCTCCTCCAATAAATGCCACTTACAGGAGTTGACCTTCTGTCCTGACCACAAAAGGTCAGGACAGAAGGGGATGGAGATGCTGTTGGATTCAGAAGTGAGTCATTGATTAAATCAAAAGTCTCCATTGAAGTTCTGCGTAGCAGCAAGAAAATGACTTGAAGAACTAGTCCCCTGCCTTTTACCAAAGAGAGACATCATAATGATCAACCCTTTGGGTTGCCCATTAGCAGCACTCATTGGGCATCCATGAGCAACTCTGGAATTTGTACTTTTTTTACATACCTAAGAAGCTATCTGCTACTACCCATCTTTAATGAAAACTTGTTTCTTTTACAGCAAGCTAAACAGCCTGAGCCCGAGTGTTTTATTGAGCATGTATATAGTTGAACCTGGGTCAACTTGCTGTACTTTATTAGTCATCATCATCCTATTGCATCTATATCCCACCCTTTTTTCCTCTTGCAAAGAACTTGAGGGGGTTTACATCCTCCTCCTCCATTTCACAATCACCAGCATGTAAGGTGGGTTAGGCTGAGAGTGAATGACTGGCTCAAAGTCACCCAGTGAGCTTCATGGTCCAGCTGAGACTAGAACCCACATCTCTCAGTCCCCAGTCCAGCACTCTAACCACCAAACTACAGGAGATATACTGAGATTTATCATTAAATTTCATTTATATCCCACCTATTTTCTTCATGTGAGGAATCCAAAGCACCTTATATAGCTCCATTTTCATCCAGTAAAAGTAAGTTATTCTTCTCTTCTCTGTTTTCCTTTTCATTGTGGTGAGGACAGATAGTAACTGAAGCCAGTAAATGTGTTTAATTTTCTTGTCTTTTAGAGATTTTCTGACCAGTGCCGTAAAGGTTTGTAGCCATTTAATTGTACAATGAATTCTGTTGTGCAATCAATTTGTTGTGTTACTAATTACCATGAGGCCCAATTGTTAACCACTAATTATTGTACTTCCACAAAACTGATGCTGGGTCAGAAGTGTCCAGCAGAGGTTAATTGGTATGACGGGTTAGGATGGGGCAAGTGATGTCTTAGCAGGAGGGGGAAGATGGCTTTGGGGAAGTAGCAAAACCTGTTAAAGGAAGACAGGTTACACAAGCACAGAAAATTCTCTTCTTACACCTTTTTCCATGCCTCTTTCATTCCAAGCTCCCGTTCATTAACTGGTTTTAAATCTATTTTATGCAAGTTCCATGACATTAAATTATCATTATATGTGAGTCATTTTAAGTACCCCTGAAGATGAAACTCAAATACTTTGGCCACCTAATGAGAAGGAAGGACTCCCTGGAGAAGAGCCTAATGCTGGGAACAATAGATGGCAAAAGAAGAAGGGGACGGCAGAGGATGAGGTGGCTAGATGGAGTCACTGAAGCAGTCAAGTGGACTCTGGGGGATGGTGGAGGACAGGAAGGCCTGGAGGAATGTTGTCTATGGGTCGTGATGGGTCAGACACGACTTCACGACTAACAACAACAACATCGTAGAAAAGTGTAATATAAACAAACATACCAATAAAAGTGACATAAAATCTCAAAGGCAACATTCAGACAATCATATCTTGGCTTATGATGTTGAGATGTGAATGAGCTTTTGTGATGCAGTCCCTTTTGCATCTTCCCTCAATAAGCCAGGAAATATCTAACTAACCATGATTTCCTAAGTTGTCCAAACCTGGAAAGCACAAGTTCCTTATGTTTTTTTCAAGTGGTTCATCTATAAACTCACTTGGACCAGGCATTTGGAGTATTTTAGTGCTAGCCAAGTTTTAAATGGGAGTCCCACCCACCTCCTCTGTGCATGTTTCAGGTGTGGTTTCTCAATTCTTTTCAGTGCAGACATAAAGAAAGCAAAGCACTGAAGTGGAGAGCAAGATGGCCTGTATGAAATCACAGGTGACTACTTGAGGAACCACAGTGACAGGTAAGCAACCTGTCCTTTTTCTTCAAGTTCTCAATCACTCACACATATGGGAGTCCGAAAAGCAAGAGATTTATTGGAGAAAGGAGAAGACATGCCAGAATTGAAGACCGGACTGCTCTGCCAAAAGCCACATCAGCCCAAGTTCTGACATCCAAGTGGCAATGCTTGACGCAAGTAGAAAGCTGAGCCCAAGTCATTACACTTCACAGTGGCAAAAGCAAGATTGCTTCTTAGGAAAATGGCAGGGCTCTAGTCAAATGAAACTGCTGGGCAAGAAGTACGACTGAAACCAGCCATCTGGCAACACATCATAATGACCTGAGTGGCAGACAAATAAATGGCTAGATTTCCTAAAGCATGATGTTCTGTGCATATATAATAGAATACAAGTCCATCTTCAGCATCCAGGGAATTAAGCTTAACCTCCATATTGTTCTAAAGTTGGTGCCTATAGTTTCCCAGTTTAGAAAAGAACTTCCTGGCTTATTGATAAGGCATACTATAAAGTGAGGATGAAAGTGGCAGCAGACACAGCTGGACAGCACATCCGCGCTTCAGCTAGTAACAGTGAGATGTGATCATCCAAATAAACCCTCAATCTCCTACCACAATCTACCTACCACATGGTCAGAGCTTTTTTAAAACAAAAGAAGTGCCTGAACAAGGAAGAATACCTACCCCCGTTGACTGATAAACTTAATGCAGAGGTTTAAATTGAAAGAACTGTACTAACCGGTCCTCAACAGCTGTAGCACCAAGTAGAATAAGCCCCCTTTCTATGTTCTCATACGCCTCTGCCAGTTTCTTTTCCCGATCCTGCAGGGCCAGCTTTGCCTCCTGAAGCTGCTCCTGAACTTTCTCATATTCTTCATATGTGAATTTTTTATATGCAACACATAATGTTCGCAGACCCTCCTGGAATAATTTATTGTAAAAGCACAAAAATATGTTCACCTTCTTGAGATGTTCAAATGAATTTACATTTATTTAAGCACATTACAATTAATATTTCTACTTCATATGTTATCTTTATTCACTTAAATCTAGAATGCAGGTTTGTTAAGTAACTTGAACAGGGCAAATCTTCACAAGAGGCCTGTGAGAAACCTTGGGGAATTAAACCTCCTACTGTGCCTTTTGCACTGCTATGGAAAGGAGGGGGGTGGAAGCAGGGAGGGGAAAGAATTACTCCTGATAGAGATGGGTGAGCATCCATGGATTCTGTCAAATTGGCCTGGAAAAAAGCCAAGCCATTCTCCCAAAATTACATTTCCTTTCTTCTCCTGCCCCCTTCTATTCCATCTACCCTTTGTCATCCCCTCCCCCATCCCAAACATTCCCTCCTTTCCTTTAACCTCCACTTCTTTGCTTGGTGCAGCTGCCAGCCACAGAAGAAAGACAGAAGGGTGTCATCTTGCTCTTCCCTCTCTGGTGGCTGGCACATCATGTAGTGCCATACCAACTAGATGCAAGCCTCTGGTAACCCTGGAGGAATATAATTTCCCCAAGACAGCAGAAGGACTGGGCATTGCATCCTTCAGATCAGCAGGGAGGAGGTTTGGAAAGGAATTCTTCTCCAATCCAGGTTTCAGTCCTTGCGGAAATAAAAATAGAGGGCTCATAATATTCACCTCTTCTTCAAGCCCCTGAAATTCACGTTCATATTCCTGCTGCATCCCTGCCAGACATCACGGACCACCCGCTCCCAAGCACCCTGGTGAGAGCAGATGGGGGTGTGGGGAAAAAGGGCAATGCTGTGCCACACCTGCTTCCCGAAGAGGTGGCTCCTCCCATCAAGGGACCTTTTGAGGGGTCTGATGCCTTGGGAGGTGCTGAAGGGCACCATCAGTTAGGCACCTGTTCAGTACTGTTTTGGGACTGCTTGGGGCTGGATCTCTTGGCTGCAGGTTGTTGATGTGTTGGTGCATGTATTGTTTACTGTTTTCTAAATATGATTATTTTGTTATTCCTATGTATATTTTTAAATCTGAAACCACTCATAGAACCCAATGGGCTTTGGTGTGGTATAAAAGTGTAACCACCACCACCACCACCACCAACAACGTGTCAGAACCAGGTTTCACTGACATCTCTCATACCAAATATTGCGCAAACGGTCTCCTGCAAAACATCAGTTGAAGGAATATCAACACAATGGGTTAATTAACTTGCATGGACAGCCTGTGTTTTGTCATGTTATCCAAAACCAACTGGTGGCAGTTGTGCAGGGGTTAAACAATCTGCACCCAACCTGGGAAAAACCCTTGACTTATTTAACTCTCACTTAACTCCTGCCGTCCAGGTTTGCTCAGCATGTCGAGCCTTGTTGTAGACTACATCTTCCATATTCAAAATCGTGGCTGGCATGTGCCAACAAATGCTGCATGCAGCCATTGCTTAAATGAGCAGCACCAGGCTGGTTTGATCATGCAAACCAGGCCAATGGCTACTTTGTCTTCAGACTTTTGATCCCACCCACACCGTAGGTGAATCTGAACTCACAAACAACTTTCGCAACTTCTGAATGCATACAACATAATAAATGCTTGTCAGGCACTGAATCTTACCACTGCATTACGTTCAACTCTTGATCTAATCTGTTCTATTTTGCCTTCTGTTACTCTAGGAAATATAGAAGAATCTGCTCCTTTACAAAAGAGAAATATTTCCCCTGAAAATGTAAACAAAGCAAATTTTAATAGCTAGTTTAAACATCTCTCCCCACCCAAAAAGAAAAAGTAAAACCACATTTTCTTACCAAACAGGTTTATTTTAAGATGACTTAATGGACTTTAAAGAGTAAAAATTACAAGCATTTTAAAACAGAAAGGAACAGGAGGAGACAGAAAAATCTAAAATGCTTGCAAAAGGGCATCTGTTAAATTTCGGACTTAATTGCCAAGGACCCAAGAAGGTTGTGCTGTCTTTTAAATTTTACCTTTTGCTGATTTAACAATTACACTCATCCTTCTCCTTACTGAATCAAAGCTAAGGACCTCCAATAGTTCAAACCTGAAGGAAAAAATAAGAATGAATTGCAATAATTCAATTTCCTCTATCTATGCATGTTCCATTATTGGTATATAATAACAACATTATTGAAACACTATATGTGACTAAAAATCCAAACCTGTCAGGCCTATAGATTATTCTTGACTATAAACAACAGAACAAGATAGTTCTGCATGGATTTTATTCTGAAGATATTAAAGATAAAAAATAGTTATACTTTTTATTTATTTAAAAATTTATAACCCATCCTTTGCATAGCCTCAGGACAGTGTACAACAATAAATAATCAAAAAATACAATTAAAATGTTCAATAATAAACAAAACATTTCGACTATAATAATTAATCCAGATTAAAAGAAGAAAAAAAGAAAAGTAGAACAAAGAAAATGCAACTGTAAAACGTTATCTTATTAAATTATTAATTTAATTATTAAAATGATGGTCAAATAAAAAGGTCTTTATTTGGTGCCAGAAAGAGTAGAGAGTCAGCGCCAGGCGGACTCTCTGGGGAGCATATTCCATAATCTGGGCACCACCGCAGAGAAGGCCCTCCTCCAAGTAGTTACCCTCCGTACCTCCTTCAGAGAGGGTTCCTGGAGCAAGGCCTCCTCTGCCAACCTTGAGGGGCATGAGGGCATATAGGGAAGGAGATGTCCCGTCAGGTATCCTGGTCCCAAGCCATTTGGGGCTTTGTAGGTTAGTACCAGCACCTTGAATTGGGCCCGGACTTCAACTGGGAGCCAGTGTAGCTGATAGACAACTGGCATTATACGAGAATAACGGCTGGCCCCCACCAACAACCTGGCAGCTCTATTTTGTACCAATTGAAGTATCCAGACTGTTTTCAAGGGCAGCCCCATGTAGAGCGTGTTATATGTACAATATATGCCATGAGTGCTGTAGCCCTACCTCATACAAATTACAACATACCTTTCAATGTCATTTTCACGATTTAAAAGCTCCATAAAATTGTCCTTCAGTCTTAAATAAGTGTAACCAAGTCTGCCAATTCAATCAGAGATACACAGAGGTTAATAGAATCACATTAATTCATTCGCTTTTGAAATATACTGAGCCGGGTAATGGATTGCATATAGTAGGAATTCATTTACAAGGCACAAACTTTTTTTATTTCATTTACAAAGCACAACCATTCTCATTTGTTCACACTAATGCAAGATTTCCTTTGGTTTTGTCTTTGGAGAGCAGCCATTCCAACTTAGCTATTCCCACCCAACTGGAATGCAATTGCCAATGAACACAGCCTTTACTTTCAATTGCCAATGAACACAGCCACCCCAATTGCACTCTTGCCCATCATATATGGTTGTACAGACATGCCTAAATCCCTTCTCCATGGAATGCCAACTTGAAATATCACCCCCAGATCAGTACTCTCCTCCCCATATGGCAGGGACAGCATTCAGCACAAAAATAGGCACAGGGATACTGCTACATAGGGACCAACTAGCTAAGTACTTCTGATTCAGGTGCAATCACAGTTCACTGGCAGAGCACTTGCTTTGCAGGCAGAATGCCCCAGGTTCAGTTCCTGGAATCTCTAAACAAGGATGGAGAAATTCCTGCCTGAAACCGTGGACTATCATTGCTGCCAGTCAATGTTGACAGTACTGGACTAGAAGGATAAAGAGTGTGACTCAGTGTAAGAAGCTTCCTATGATCCTAAGTCTCTTGACAAGGCAGATTTTTTGCCATACTTCACTTGTCATCAATTGCCCCATCTTTAAAAAACAAAGGCTTTTAAATCATAAAATATATATGCTTTAAAGCTCTGATGCAAAATCACACTTACATTGGCCACCTGCACTTATTTCATGTGGGCAAGAAAGATGCACAGGTGAACTGTGCCAAATGGTCATACTGTGCTTTGTATTGAAATTCTACTCTTCTAGTTTGACTCTGGGCCCACTGCATTACTTTTGGGAGGGAAACACCTAGCTTTTGGAAAAATACTGTATTACTAAAGCGTACAAGTTCTGAGACACAGATGCTCTTGGAAAGGACAGAAGCAGAGTCTATGGAAGCAGAAGAAATGTTTATTTTCAGTAGAGATTAAGGGCAAAATCTTATGCATGTTTAGACAGAAAAAGTCCTACAGATTCTCCAGCCAGCTGGCTAAGGAACCTGGGAGTTGTAGGACTTTTTTCTGTCCAAAAATGCATAGGATTGCACTCTAAGAAATTAAGAGACATCTGTGCTAACGGGCCTTGATTCAAGAGCAGCACTTTATACACAACCAAGCTTGACCTATCTCACTTCTGTCATTTTCTCTGAGCCGCTCAGGCTTGTTTTTACCCCAGTCCCTCTCCAACTTCAGGGAAAGTTTCACAAGAGATATTTCCCTTCAGAGCAGATGCTATCAAATGAGATTTATCTCTACTCTCATACAGCTTGCAAGAGCAATATAGTATTATGGCACATACCTTTGGATCCCTTCAACTAAAGCAACTTCATCAGGGGATGATGAAATATACACAGCAGACCTCCCTGACAGGTGAACTTTCTTTAATCCATCCACATTGTCATCTTCCTTTACTTGAACAGTATGACAAAGACACAGAGCCCGGAAAAAGAGTTCTTCTCTGTCCTAATAAATAAAAGAGGAACCCTGCTAGTACAAAATCTCAATCTCTAAGAGACATGGCATCAATATTAAATATTTTCCATGTGAAACAAGTTCTATTTTTATGGAAAGTGTAAGACAGTTTAATGCAATACATTGATGTATAAGTGCTGGCTTGAATTCAAAGCTAAATTATCCGAAAGAAGTCCATAGAAGGATCATTGTCCTTCCCTGTCTCTCCACAGCACCTACTTATGACCTCCAAAATGCCTCTATGGAAAGTCAGGGGACATCCTAAACAATGTGAAGTGCAATGCACGGGGCTCCTGGGTAGACATGAACGTTTCTTCAGCTAACCTATTCAAAGCTTATCTTAGGAGGCCACTTGCTATGAATAAAGCTATTTGACGAATTGCTTTCCTATATTTCTGTATCAGGTATTTATAACCCAAGTCCACCAGCACAGGTGGTGTGGGCCAAAACATTAAAAATACCTTGACATTTCTTTGTTGTTACCCTAGCACGGCACATGGGGCCTGGACAAGATTGGGATCCTTATGGGACAAACAATGGTTCCTCCATATTCTGCTCTAGCCCTGATCCAAATCAGGGTGCCCATGCCTTCCATTTACATAACAAAATAGTGATCTGGCTTCATGCCCCAAGGATGCCAGAGTCCATCTATTCTGCTGTAAGCTCTTAAAAGAAACAGTAGAATTTAAAGTAACACGTTTTGAGAGAGGAACCAGCCAAAATGTGCTTCTGTGCCTGCCACCGTCACTACACTACCATGACCACCCCACTAATTCTGAATGAAACACAGCACAACAAAAGATACACATGTTGTGCCAGCCTCTAGGTTTGTTATTTAATCCTACAATTCTCCCCAAGTTCTTCCATGTCTCTAGGCCTGCCTGATTGGAAGCTTGTTTATCTTGGAACAGTGACCTGTATTAGAAACTATTTAACATACTAAGCTGCAGCCCTCTGACTAGATAATGTGTTGAAAGTCATTTTTAATACAATTACAACGGCTTTGTTTAAGCAAATCCTCCAGGTGTCATGTCTTTTCAATAAATGGAACAGTTGTTATTCCATCATCATTTATTCATTCATTTTCAAGATTGCTTCATACTTTGCCACTTCCTCCTGGAGAAGAATCGATCATATCAATACCAGAGCAGTCGTGGAGGATCTGTCCATTACAGATGACATGAGGGACATAAACATGCCCCTCGATGCAGCATTCTATGAACTCCATATTATTCTCTGTTAATGTCCCTGTCTTATCTGTGAAGACATATTCAACCTGAAAAGAGACATACAGAGCAATTAAGGCCTGAAACAACAAGGACAGACCTTGCGGGGGAAAGTCAGCTTTCTTGATGGCTGAAGTTATTATGTGTGACTTAAGATTTTGTCCCTTGGCCTTCAGAGACAACACAGAACTTGTCCTTTCAATGATGACATTTACAATAATGTCAATGCATCTAACACAAAGCAGAATGCTGTCTATGTTGTTTTCATTAAGAATATTATGTAGGTTGGTTCAGGGAGAGTTTACCTATGTAAGTTACAAAACACCAAGCAATTTTTCAATGCAAAAAGGCCAATACTATGTGAATACTAAACCAGATTAGTGTAAGCAACTATCTTTTACATATAATCTACTATCCTGCCATATAATTTAAATGTTTGGTTTAAAATGCTAGCATAGCAAGTTCAAATACTGTACTACTATTATTTAAATACTGTACTACTATTATTTTTCCTGAAATAACAACAAAGAGATCAGTACCACCAGGAGACTTTGTCTTAACCTAGTTAAGACCTAGTTCAGATGTAATACTAAACCATGGTTTAGTGCTTGGTTTGGCTGCAGAATCTCTTTGAGCCTTAGAATTCCATGCTGGAGACCTTCTCAAGGAACAAGTTTCAGTAGGCAAAGACAAAAGAGGCAGTTCAAAAATACTAAAACATTTTACCTTAAGTTCAGTAACTACAAGGAAGCAAACCTTAGGACAGACACTTCAACCTTTTACAATAAGGAAAAAAATTGCACAAAAGCCAGGAAACCACCAAACAAGCAATCAGTTCTGCATTCTTGATGTAATGTTTAAGATGAACAGGCAAAAGCCTCAAGCTCCTCTTTCTCTCCTCTTTTTCTTTGTGCATACTGCCAAGACGTTTGGAGTGTATTTTTTGTGATTTTGAAGAAATCATTTCCCATCCAAATACAAGAATCAAACTGTATGTAGGAATCTGGTTTATCAAAAGTTTAGATGATAAAAAAGATCCAGATGATGCCCTAGTTCACAAGAATGATGACAGTGAATGCTACCGCTATAGGTGCTCATACTCCCAAGGAAATTAGTCCTCGTCAGGTGATCATATCACTGTCTTTAGGGATATACCAGAGACAGATGCTGGATTGCTATGACACCTAATACATGATAGTTACCTGCCCTAACTCTTCATTGAGGTCAGAGGTATTCACCAGCGGCCCTTCACCTGTTTCTTCATCAAACATTTCTTCATCCCAGGTGAGAAAATAAGAACCAAGAAATTTCTGCATTTCTACTGTGACATACATAGACACAGGAATGATATAGTTGAAAAGAACCATGAAGGCAAGAAAATCTGTAAACGCTGTAATAAACTGCCAAAGGAGAAAAAACAGAAGCAAATGATTGATTTCAATATGTTTTCATAAACTGTATCTTAGGCTGAACTTCTATGCAGAAGCATTGGGAGCAAAGTTCTATTGCATACAGTTGGAATTAGTTCTGTGTAAACTTGCATAGTATTGCACTCTTAGACATTTTTGATATATGTGGTGGATTCAGCACATCCCACCATAAAATTCAAACTCGTCCACAATCTTCACTGAGCTCCTATGATCTAGCATGCAATATTAATGTTTAAGTTTTGTTATCATTATGATACCATCCCTTATTTAGGAAGAAAATATTTTTGATGTGTAAGAATATAATGAAGAAAAACAAAATCAATCAAAGCTGTCAACCTAGGCCCAATTCAGGAGTAACATGCTGGTCTTGGAAACCAGAGAGGTTTATCACAGGAGCAACTGACAAGTTCTTCCTTGCCTGCTTTTATGTAGCCAGCTACAAAAAAGATCTCAGTTTTTAAACCAGAGATTCCCAGGACATCTAAACCAGAAAACTGAGGTCTAAGAGCTCTCTACAAAAGAGGATTTAAAGTTCCTGGAGGGTACACAGGAAGTCCAAGTTTCTAGACAGCTCATCATCCATTCATTCATTTGCCAGCAACTTTGGTTTGCTGCAGAGGTTCTGAATATGGTCCCCAGAGACATCACTGCCCCTGCAAGGTCAGTGCGAGGGGCCTACCGAGCTATTTCCCTCTCTGCCTGCAAGTGGAATGACTCCTCCATTCACTTGCACAAGCAGAAAGAAAAGCCCTCCTTTCAGAAAATCAGTTGCATCCACCTGTGATGTTATCTCTCACCAAAGGGCAGAAATACCGCAACATTGCAATTTCATGTTTATTAGAAAAGGTTAAATGTGAAGCTTTTCCACATACCACATTTCTTTTCCTTTCCAATTCTGTTTTCTGATTATACCAAGGCTCATCACGATGTCGCTCACTTTGCCAGACATATTTCAGAACAGTATTTATGAGTGATTTACTGATCAGAATACAGAGGTATACAATAAGAAATACATTCATTGATCTGAAGCAAATGAGAGAAAACCATTTTATCATTAGTGAAATAAGTTAGTTTGTTGTATAACAACGTTTTTGAGTAGTCTATGTAAACTGAACAGATCTAACAAATGCAGTAAAAGAGGAACTTATCTTCCTCCTCCTTCCTCTGGAGGCATTGCCTTCCGATATGTGCCTGACACTGTGCAATGCAACATGGTACTTCCTGGAACATGGTCGGATTTTCTAGGACCTGTGATTTGGCATGCACTGCAATATGGTAGACCAGGCCACCGGAGAGGAGAGGAGAGGAGAGGAGAGGAGAGGAGAGGAGAGGAGGATACTTACTACTGCTGCCTACACTAGGGGCCCATTAAGTGGGGCTTGAGGGAAGGGGCTCAGAAGGTAGTGAGTGGAAGGAGCTAAGTTAATTTACACATGTAGTGTTTTCACTTGGGCTAGATTTAGTACAATTCCATCATAAAAGTTATGGAGAAGATTTGAAGGAGGTCTATTGGCCTTGAGAATTGGTCTATGTCAAAACGAGATGGTCAAACATATTCTCTTGCTTTGTAATTATTATACGGGAGCTAGTCAACAAATGAATATGGTTTTGTTGGCTAAATATAAAACTTTACATTAAGTATCTGCTGTCAGAAAAAATTCCATCAGTATCATTTATGGCGGTCAAATGCTGCAGTGGCATTACAAACAAAGAGACAACTATCTTCTTGACACTGGAAGATTGTTTCTGGGGAGCTGCTACAGGGCATCTGTTTTTATATTTTTGAGCTGATATTTGACGATGATATTTATATTTCATTCTGTAATATATTTCGGGTCTGTTTTTAAATCTGGTCAGTTACTGCAATTATTTTTTCCCCAATATTTTGGAATGTCAGTGGCTTTCTGCAGCAGTCCCAAGAGCAGTAATTCCACTCATAAGCACAGTTTAATAGTTTCGCTCTGGGTAAGCAGTGCTGCATTCCCAGGGTCTTGACTAAAAAGAAACTGCCCTATCAGTATTTGGAAAAAACTGGGGTTTTTTTCTTTTTTCATCTTTGCCATAGTAGCATTTAGCGAAATAAGGTGTGAATTCTATTATTTTCAAGTATTATAAGCAAGGAAATTTGCATAACAAACCAGGTAATTATGAGTTTTTCTGGCATCTCTAATACAGATACCCAGATAAAGGAGTTTTGATTGCCTGCAACTTTGTATAACACAAAGATATCAAGTCAAGTTTTCTGGAAGAGCAAGACAAGAACAAGCAGGGAATGGCATCAAAACCTTTACAAAACTAGAAATTATAAAATAGTGACTATTTGACAGCTGCACCTAAATTCTTAATAATAAATGAGAATATCCCCCCAGCAAGCTCCATATTAGGTGGAAGACACATGTGGTTATTAGAAAAATAAAAAAAAATAAAGCATGGTTTGATTCCATTCCCCTGTTCACATTATATAAAGGCTTTTCTGTCCTTTTTCCTTTCTCTATCACCGATCACATACATATATTAGGAAAGCAGAAAAAGCTTTACTTTTCTACAGCAGATCGTTTCTGAGATTTTGATTGGTAGTTCAGTGCCATCTTTGTTTCCATGCCAGTGTATATAGCAACACCTGAAATGAACAAAAATACTTCTTCAGACGTTCTGTATGTGTATTACTTATACATTTAAACATACACTTGGCTTGTACAAACGCTGTTAAAAGCATGTGATTTCTTTGGCAGCACAATTGTAGCTGTGAGCAATGAGTTCATGAATGGGTAGGCAGGGACAACCACATGCATTCAGAAGCAAGGCTGAATCGAGACTGGCTTAGTGGTGGTGATACTAGGTTCTCCAGTTTATGAGAATTTTGAAAGCATCCCACTTTAAACCCATTTTCAGCAATGCTCCAGAAGGATGCAAAGATGTTCAGCAGTGTAGACTGAGGGCAATGCTGATCTATGAAACCTTGCCCTTATTCTTAACTAGGTTTGTTTGCCCCCTTCACTATCTGACTGGCTGCATATTCCCCAATTGACTGGGAATACCCAATTCAAGGAAAAAGATAACCCAGAAAAACTGGCACCAAGCCAACAGCTGTAAAAGGGTAACAATGAAAAACTTGGTAAGCAAAAAAGTGAATATTTGCTTAATTTAAGGGTTGCTCAGGAATCATTTTGTCTCTCTTCAAGAACACTTCTTTCAGTCCCCAATATGATACAATTAACAATCCTATTTGGTAGATCTTTCTTACTTTCTTTTTTTGAACTGAAGACTTCTTGTATTCTAAAAAGACACTGCAGAAATTTAAATAATTTTGCTTAAGTTGCTTATCTTATCATGTACATCACTGAATTGCCACCTTTACTGTTTTCTGTTGCAATAATTACCAAAGATCTTCTCTGTATTCTTTAAAGTAGCTCCTCTAAGAAGCAGATTTTCAGATCCCAATGGCCTGCAAAGGTAAATATTGACAATATTGATTACTTATTCCAATTTGGTGTTGGGGAGGGGAGCAAATGAAATAGAAAGAAAAGTTCAGAAAAGAAAGAATTTGTTAAATCATGAACTTTGGTTTAACAGACAATTCAGCTACCCCGGCTTATTTTCCCTTTCCATGATCATGTGAATTCGGTGAATTTCTAAGTCTTACCTTGCAACAGGCTCATTTGTGTCATAGTAAACATTTATTCGACCAACAAATCTGCAAGAAGAAAAACATTAGGAAATATCTCTGTATCAACACAGGAATGCAAAGAAGAATATACTAATAATTGCATAAGTTTGCATGCAAACAGTTTCAGCTATTGACTAGAGGAAGATGAATCACAGATGCACCTTTTAAACTCATGGCACTCCTTTCTCCTTTAGCTTATGGAATTCTCTCTCACCCTCTCTCCAGGTTCCCTCTCCATATGACTCCTAGAGTGTTTGCATCTTCTGTAGGGTCAGTGGAACTTGTCAGTGGGGACTGTGTTGGTGTACCAGCTTGGGTGCAGATGGAGAAAAGTTCCTAGTGAATACAATCAAGTCCTGGTATGTGTTTATAGCATATTTCAAGGTACTGAGAGAGGCAAAGAAGTAATATCTGACTGCCTCCATTCAATCTTCCATTTGCTGCCCAGTGGAGCTCTCCAGGATTATCTGGGGGCTATTACATGCTGGCCTCAAGGACATCTTGGTGCCATCTGAGGCCTGCTGTTATATGTTCACTAGGCACTTCCAGGACATAGTCTCTTGTGTTTTCCAGGACACCTCCAATGTTATAGCAGTGGAACCAGGGGAGAGATCTAGAGCACAGTCTGGTCTAGTTATGTTGGATGAGTTCCAGTTGGCAAGGTGCTTGGACAGGTTCATGCAATCATGTCTGTACTTGATTCTTGCCCCTTCTAAGTAGCTAGTAAAAGCCAATAAAGAGGGAACTGCTGGCTGGGCCAGGGAGGTGGTTAATGCTTCTCCATGAGGAGGAGTGATCCTAGGTCACCTGAAACAAGTAGTGGTGAGACCACTCCTGAAGAAACCCACCCTGGACCCAGAAGAACTTAACAATTTTAGGCCAGTGGCAAGGTTCTTGAGTGGGTAGTAGCCAAACAGCTCCAGGCAGTCTTAGATGAGACTGATCATCTGGCTCTGTTTCAGTCAGGAATTAGGCCTGGTTTTGGCATGGAAGCAGGTTTGGTCACCCTGTATGATGACCTATGCTGAAAGGGAGAGAGTGAGGTTTGGTTTGGTTCTCCTGCACTTCTCAGTAGATTTTGATACCATTGGCCATGGTAACTTTCTGGGGCGATTGTCTGAGTTGGGTGTGAGAGGCACTGCACTGCAGTGGTTCCATTCCTACTTGGCAGATACTGCTCTGTCCCTTGGATCCTCCAGTACGGGGTTCCTTGGGGTCAGTCTTGTTCCCCATGTTGTTTAACATCTATACGAAACTGCTGGGTGAGGTTATTGGGAGATCTGGAGTGTGCTGTCATCAATATCCTGATATCATGCAACTCCATCTCTCCTTTTCATCTTCAGCAAGTGAGGCTGTGGATGTGTTGATCCAGTGCCTGGCTGCAACAATGGTCTGGATGAGGGCTAACAAACTGAAGCTCAATCCGGACAAGCCTGAGATGCTCTTGGTGGGTGGTTCTTCTGACCAGATGGAGAGAATTCAACCTGTTCTACATGCGGTTGCACTCCCCTTGAAGGAGCAGATTTGTAGCTTGGGGGTGTTACCTGAGTCATCTTTGTAGCTTGAGGTAATTTACCCTCCCCTTAGTTACATCTGCTAAAGCTCTCTCTACCTTCACCTGCTACTGGTTCAATTACATTTGTCTTCTCTCAAGTCTAATGTTAAAAAGCTAACATGGAGCCTATCAAAAATGTAAGAGAAGTACAATTTACCAGTGGGGAAGGAAATATAGAAAGCAATCCCAAATTCTTATATTCCACCCTATTCCTTCATTTCTACTTGGCTTTTGCCACTTCTGGAATTCCACTTACTCCATTATCTTGATCCTGCATTCAATACCTCTTAAATTCAGTGTGTGCGTTTCCCTCTTCCATTACTTTATCTCAAAAACTAATTGTTCCTCAAAGGTCATATGTGGCTATCTAACTAGGGTGATCATGTGTCACACTTTGCACAGGAAAGTCATCTATTTGACTTCATTCTATATTTGAAAAACACTTTAGTCTAAGCCCAGTTTAAAGAAAAAAAAAAACATAAGATGGGAAGGCTTTAAGTTGTTCATCTGATCACTTGCTTCTCACTACAGAAAGATGTATTATACTTCTGTTAAATGACAGTTATAGCCAGTAGAAAGGTGACAAAGATGGCTCAGGTAGAACTCATGAGCTACAAATCCTCTCCTTTGAGGGGAAATAGACACAATGTGCAATATTTGTATGTATTTTTTGAATTCCTATTTGAAGATACACAGCATACAGCAGTCAGACCTAAATTCTCAGTATCAAATTCAGGAATGAATGTTGGCATAGAGTTACTTAACTGATACTTAATCCTAGTCTGGCATTTTCTCAAGTCAGGGTTATAAGCATGATCTGATAGTGGGAGATGAAAGAAGAGCTGGCAGAAACTAGAACTGCCTGGCTCCATACCATGAGCTTGGCAAACAATGTTCGTTCAGAAAATAGCTATGATATAGTGGCAGAAGCAGTTAGTTCCTGACCACATGAATAAGAGAATGTACCGCTTCTTCTTAGCAGGATATGGGGGAAATGGTCAAACAAAAACAACCATCATGTTATAAACCAATTTAACTTGCCTTTCTTGATATAAACCCCTCCTGTTAAAAAATATAGGAAAGCCACTATTGAAATAATTTTAGAAAGGCACAGGCAATCTTTCCACCCTATTTCCTTGAAAATAAGACCTAACTGGAAAATAAGCCCTAGGAGGATTTTTCAGGATGCTTGTAATATCAGCCTTACCCCAAAAATAAGCCCCAGTTAAGATCGTCAGCCAGATGGACACATTTAGTACGTCTGTTGTAACACACGATGGACATATTGAATTATAAGATAATATATTAAATATAAATAAATACTATTGCCATTAATACTTAAAATAAATGATAATATACATTATCATTATTTGTAAATATCCAAGCAGGCACCTTTGGACAAGAGGTAAATGCCTATGTAAACAGATAAACTTGAGACTTATTGCCGAATGACCAACCAGAGTACAGACACAATGACGAATAACGTGCACACTTGATAATGAACAGACATGTTGCATAATTCAATACATCATGTGCTGTAACAGATGTACTTAATGCACTTTTGTGTTGCCACTCCTGTCTCGTAAGTCTTCAATTAACATTTTATTTAATGGTAGGTTTATAGGGAATAATATTTTGACCCCCACACACGGTGAGTGTAAAAAGAAAGAGCTATTCCGTTGAGTACAAGAAAGGAATCATGGAGGACTAACAGGCCGAGAATCATTTGGCTTTTGTAAGAAAAAATAAGACATCACCTGAAATTAAGCCCTAATGTGTCTTTTGGAGCAAAAATTAATATGAGACCTGGTCTAATTTTTAGGGAAACACGGTATAAATTTCCCTGAAATGGGTACATTTGTCATTTTGGCTTCTGGGCATTTATTTTCAGGATTTCTAGTTGTCTTGAAGGAAGGAACTCTTGTTTCCCTCTCTTGAGTTCTGACTTTTCTTTTCCCCAAAAGAATTAAAGTAAGAAAACTGACTGTTTTATCGGAACTTGCTTAACATCTGATCAAAGGTAATTCTCTGAAATAGGTTACAAGCAGCATCTTTCAGCAGTTTCAAAAACAGTCACTGGACAGTATCAAAACCAAGGATACAAATGCATATGAGAAAATAAGTAGAAAGGGAACATGTAGCTGGAACATCATGGCAACAACACAGGAAAATGTGGTTCAGTTGTACCCAGCTACAGCCCCCACACCAACTTATCAATGAAAAAGCTACTATTCCTTAATGACAATTAATCAAAAATAGAAACATCACAAGTCTGTGCAGATGTAATGTTCCTGACTGCATAACCATGGTACAGCTAGTAGGTTAGATTTCCAATTCCTATCCTTCTACAACTCATGTTAACCATTATGACAGAACTGATTTTATCCACTATGGTGAGTGCTAACTGTGTTCTGAAACCAGCTATAAAATAGTAACTTTAGACCCAGGATTAATTAGAACTCTCAGTTACTTATAAGCAGTGCTTTTTTTGTAAAAAAAAAAAAAAAAAAAAAGGTGCCAGAACTCACATCTTGGGGTCACACTTTTACACTAAGAAAGATTTTCAGTTCACCAACTTTTTCTGAAATAAAGAACTCATTTACCTTTTGCACGTAGCCAGTCACTCTACACACACATAAACATAATGGTCGCCGCCGGCAGTAAGCACTCAGTGCGCGACCACACGACCGATCCCAAGCCGAGCAGCGCCCTCACAATCAGCGCAGACACACAAGCAGTCCGCATGCACTATTTTAATGATTTTTGCCGCCGACCTGCTACACCTGACAGGGCGATTCAAAATCACTTGGAAAAATCTGTTGGAAACATCTGTCAAAAAAAGGTGTCAGAACACCATTCCAGTGTGTTCTATGACAAAAAAAGCCCTGCTTATAAGACTGGTTAGTCCCTGTGCCAACAGGATGGTTAACAGGGTTTAGACTTAGTTACCAATAATTTGCACTCTATAGAAATAGTGTGTATGCAATGCACATCACATTCTTAATTATTTAAATAAAAATCAAGCTTTTACGTTACAAGCCCCATTTTTTTATATACTCATCATCTGAGTAATATGTCCTCCATCGGTATCTCAACAAATTGTCCTACAAAAATACCATAAGTGATAGTTTAACGGATCAAATATCCCTTCACAAAGTCACAAAGTGTCTTAGTGTTCAGGAAAAGCGCTAGATAAAAATAGCATTGTGGAGCCATGAGAAACGTAATGACAGGAGACCAGAGGATGTTGCATCAAATGAGTTGTCAAATAGCTGGTGGGAGAGATGAGTGGGGAACCTTGGACAGTAAAGAGGAGCCATTTCTTGAATACCCAAATGGTGTGCAGAGAATGATGCTGACACACGCTGGAGAGCAAAGGAATGGGGAAAGAGAGTTGTGTTTTCATTCTTAAACATTTTCTCAGATTGCTTATCAATATCCATATTTGTTTTTTCCAGAGGTGGTTGTGCATTTGTACAATCCAAAAATCCTAATGCTTGCGATGCACAAGGAGATATTACAATGCTTTATATATCCCACCATGCATATGTACATTTTAAAAGTTAAGTACTAATTTATTTGCACACACATAGTGTGCACGCACGCATACAGCATCAGGATTAGAACAGGTGACAATACAGCCCTGTACAAAATGAAGAAGTGCAGCTCCAAGCCCCAAATATGTTTCGCTCCCTGGTCTGACGTCTCAGTCACTGGTGGGGAAAAAGACATGGTAAATGCAAAAGGGGCTGCAGCAAGCCCAAAATGGTTTACAGTTGCAATGTAAACACAACTTGGTCCTCTCACAGTGCCCCAAGATATCCATGGCAGGATGGGGAAAGACGGGTGGGTTGGGGCCAACAACCCACCATGAGCCCAACTGCCTGCAAGGATCACTGTTGGTTATTTATACAACAACCAACCCACTATGGCTTACTGACAGGCTGGGTTAGTATGAAGTGTGAATGTGCCCACAGACACACAGTAAGATATCGAATATGCTCAGCCCACTGGTCCTTGTAGCACTGCACTGTCAACTCTGACCAGGGATGGCTCTCTAGGGTTTACTGTGGGATTCCTTCTCCTCCCTACTCTTGTTGGGAACTGAACTTAGGACCTCCTGCGTACAAAGCACGGCCTCCACAACCCCACACGCTTTGCAAAGTCAGAAGAGGAAAACAAAGAGGTGGGAGCTTAAATGTGCAGCATATACTTGAGTTTCAGCACAAAGTTATTTTAGTAAATTACCATCGATAAGAATTGACAATGCATTCTTACTTATAAAGATCAGGCTGAGGTTGTTCACATTCAATGGTAGCATGAAGTGTGTCAATATCCTGTTCACTTTGAAAGGCCTTTGTATCCTGGACAGCATAATAAGTCTGCAATAGACAAGAAAGCTAAAAATAACAAGTACCTTTTCTTATTTATGAAGAAAGCGAAAAAAGGCTTCTGTCAGAGTGCCACAGTTAAGAAGTTTGTTTTTACCTTGTAAAATTTGGCAAATCTAAATAATTACTGGAATGTTGCCTCAGTACCTCAAAATTCTGACAGGACAAAACCAAATGGCATAAATCAAGTAGCTCTGTTGTAAATGATTATATGCCCAGTATTAATATACTTGCCAAATCTTAAACCGTTACAGAAAGCCCATATTTTCACAGAATTGTATGTAACTTCTTTTCTAGTTGCATTCAAAATTTGACATTCCATAGACTAAGAGAAATGCTCTACCTGCCTTTGACAAAAGTATGAATTCATATCTTCTTACAAGTTCATTACTTCCAACATAGGTAAGAAAAAAGGAGGGAAATTTTGTTGTAGAGTTAAAATGTTTAAGTTACCCAAGCTACTCTACTCAGGGTGAACAGATATGCAGAGAAATAGAAATGTTCACCGTTCAATTACCTTATGACTAGACTCGCCATCCAAGCTTGCTGTTGTAACAAAACATGTTCCATCGGTCCGACTACTTGATAAAAATATTAAGTCACAAGGGAACGTTTCATCTTCCTTCACCATCACAATATCTCCAACCTAGAAGGCATGTGTATGGAGAAGGGAGGGAATCAGTATTAAATTACAAACTGTAAACTTTTCAGCCCAGGAACACACACTGTTGCCATTGTCATCTTCCTTACAGTTCTGCTGGCTGAAGGCTGCTATTCTATACCCACTTACTTGTGAGTAAGCCCTACTGAATATATATTTGAGCAACCAGGTACTGTCCTGTCAGCTTCTATTACGATTAACCTACATTGAGATGTGCAAACCTAATCTGAGCTGTGAAAAGAGTTGATACCAGTTATTTACTACTAACATACAAAACATCTGCATGAAATAATAGAAATAATTCACTTTTTTATGTGAACACAGATAACCTGTCAACAAGTTTTACTTTTAGGATGATGCACATTTAATCAGAAAATATACTTCGAATGCCTCAAGTTATTGCATAAACATTACCTCAAAAAAAAAAAGCACGTCTAGGTATTGGGTTTTTGTTTTTAGCTCTATTTAAAGTAGAACAGGATGAATAATGTGAACACTTTCCCACAAAAATACAATCATTTTTCAAGGTTTTCTGGAGTAAAACAATATGCAAAACTCTCTAGAGAAAAGAGAAAGGATCATCTGGCAAGCACGGGACTCTGATTGACCTATTTGGCCAACAAAGCAACTTTTGGAGAATATAAATGACATGATTTACAAAGGGAAGTGAATATTCAGAAGTTACAGTCAGACTGATCACCCTGCTGATCACAGCAGCTAAACAGAACCCCTTTGTTCAGAAACGCTACTCCTAAATATAAAGTATTAGAGATAAAAACAGGGGAATATTGTTGCCTTCCTGCACTGTTTGTGGGCTACCTGGAAGAATCATGACAGAAACAAGAAGCTGAACTAGAACGTATCATTCTTTTAACCTAGCAGGTGTGCAATTTTGTTCTTAGTATCCTTTTCCACTGAATCTCCTCCATATAGAATATCTGGCATCATTCAGACAGTTTGGACTACAGACCCCATTTGGACTGCAGATCATTAGACATGTTGGCTGGGACTGATGCGAGTTGAAGACCAAAACATTTGGAGGCAGCTCCATTTTGATGGTTGAGGAAAGCTAGGATAGGATATTTGAGTGTGGGCGCGATCACAAATCTATCATCTAGCTAGCTAGCTATCTTAATGTGCTTGTCTTAGGAAGCTCAGTCCACCTGGGATTAATTCCCACTTAACTCACTAGACATGCAGAGGATTACATGGTAACTGAAGCACACTAGTAGCCAGCATATTGTTCCTAAGCTGGAATGAAAGAGAATTTGCAAAATAAACAGAATATTTTTCACTTTCAGGAAGGAATGAACTGTGAATCACTCCTCTTCTTTAATTAACAGAACAACCATACTCATGTTTATTCACAAGTAAGTCCCCTGTGTTCAAAAGGACTTACTTCCTAAGAAATGTATACAGAATTGCAGCCAGCATGGTCTTTTACATGCTAGATTTCTCTGAATCTAGTATAAATATGGTCAAACAATGAATGAGCTTGACAGAAACTTAGGGCAGAAAAATGTTTTTTGCTGATATGCATTTGGACTGCAGTTGGTCCAAGATGTATATTTTGTGTGTCTGGTTTAAGAAAAGTAGGGCACATGAGAACAAACAGCTATAAGGCACATGAACATGCAGACCATCTTCAGAAGCTAAACCAGTTCCTCATGGCAGAAAACCATCATAACTACTTTTGACATGATGAATATCAGAGACAGGACCTGCAACAAATGGTTTAAAGGGGGTGAGCTCTTGTTTAGAGTTCCAGCCATGACACTTGTGCTCCACAGCCCTTCCTCTGCCCCAGCTTTCTTTTTCCTTTCAACAGATACTTAGCAGTCTATCTCCACAAAGTGTATTCAATTCTCACTAGGCTATTTGGTCCCCTCCCCCTTATGTTTCACCCCCCAAAATATTTTCCAAAAGATATCCTTTCTCATTGGTGTGGGTGGTATTGTTTTAACTATGTAGGAATGAACTTTGGGATAATGCAACTTCTGTTAATATATAAGAGTTTGTATCTCACTTCCATACTTATATCATATGAAACACAAAGACAGAACTCATTACAACCAACCATGAAAAACAGAGTTTAGAAAAGCAAGAAAGCTGCTTTCGATAGCCACCTGCCTAGGCATATCATGACCAACATAAATATGTGAAGATTTTCTGGGTGAACCTAAAGTTAGATCAAAAATAAATCCTTATAACCATTGGTTCAATATCACCAAGAGATGCAATGTTCAAATTACAGAGTACAATTAAGAGACCATAGAAAAACCAGCCTTTTTGGTCTCCTGCCTTCCCATCAAGTCTTCCTTGTCAACAACTTAATCCCCAATAGCTTTAGAAATCAAAAATGGTGGTGCAAGTGGAATCCATCCAAAGTGGATTTACAAAATTCTATATTATGGTTCCCGATAATGTAGACGGATTCTGGGCCAGCCTACCTAACATTAGATGGAGTGATGCAGCCTGCCTCAGCCACAGATTCTGTAATGCTATTAAAGGAGAACAAATGGTCAATTATGTGGTTTATTTTTACCTCTTTGAAATTTCTTGGCCCATCATCTACAGTAAGCCAACCTGCACAAAAAACTAAAGCTTTGCTTTCAAGCTACCCTATCCCAGTGCACCTGATAGATGATCAAGTACATCAGGATAGCATCCCTCCTCCACCCTGCTCAGTTCCTGCAATATTTTGGGGGACACTGTGGGGGCACCAAGATTTCACCCCTTCCTACTACCACTTGAAAGTAGGTTGGATGGATGGGCAACATTAACTGTTCCAGCCTTCTCATGTTGAAATGATGGGTGCTGCCTGCCGTCAGACCCAGCCATAAGGACTGGCCACAGTAACAGGCAGCCCTGGGAACCTCTTCCTGCTGCTGGCCCAACACAGCATGCAGGGCTAACCACAGCAGGAAAGGTCACTTATATAAAACCCCTCTCTGTCTGGACCCAAGCAGTGCTCTGCTGGGGTCCCAGAAGAAACTCCCCACTCCAGCTGGCAAGGGACCTGCACGAACTGGAGTGAAGGTATCCCTGTTGACCTGTCATTGGCACACCACTGGTTCATGAGGAATCCCTGCCAATCAGAGGGAGGGAGCAGTCCTGACATGCACTGCCTCCCCGTGCTGGTTCCTAGGCTACCCTGACAAAAGCACCCTGGCTTAGACCACGTGTATCTCAGCCGAATGTAACTCATGGGATTGTTGGGAGGATAAAATTAAACATGGGATGATCTCTATATGCCACTTGCAGCTCCTTAAAGGCAAGACAGGGGCTCAATGCAATTAAAAAAGGCATTACAGACTACAGAACTTAAGCTTATTCATTTCTACATATCACATTTGAAATACCTTCATTTTGATGGCATTTCAAAACATGTAAACACCTTCTAATTTTTAGCAACATGAAGGTAGGACATTTCAAGATTTGTAAACTTGTCCATCCTCTGTTTAAAGCAGGGATAAAATGTAGAACAAGTTGTATTTTAGGAATGACAGGCCTTGGCTATTTTCAGTGAAAATCCAACTCTTAGTGCAAAAATGCAGTGGATATTTGGCAACAGCAGCTGCACCATATGGGAGGAAATGGATTCTCCAGAATGGAGAATGGATAGATTCTCCACATATGGAATTTATGCAACATTCTCCTATAATTTGAACCTGAGTGCTCAGTATATCAGGTCAGTCACTAAAAGGGTACAAGTGAAGACATGTCCCTCTTATAAAGTATCTTTTGTTGTATGCTACCAGTGTTGCATATTACCAATGCTAATACCATAGCAACAAATGCTAATGTTAGTTGTTGCTAAACCTGCAGCCTGATCCACCACTGAAGAAAATACTTCTTCCTCATTTTGTTGTTACATATAACAGCTAATGAAACAAGGTCATGGTGATAGAAAAGTTCAATTTAGAGTTGAAAGAGCTTATGACTTCAGTAAATGCCAAATCAAAACAAGAGAACAGAACTCGTATTGCAAAAAACAAGCAAGCAACATAACAGTTTGCTTTGCCAATCCGATAATTTTTAGAACTGTATGGAGCAGATTCTGCATCTATTTATGCAACATTTGCCTGCCATTTGTAAGGCCTGCACAATCAAAATTATGAACACTCACACACAAGGGAACCTCCATCCTATCTATCTATCTATCTATCTATCTATCTATCTATCTATCTATATAATTATAACTTGGTACTTACTCTTAGTTTGCGGCTCTGCTTTCTAACCAGTTTGCCATGTCGAATGAAATGAACGGGGCACTGATTCATTGCATTGTCAGCTTTATGACGAAGCCAATCTTCATAGCCCTGAAACAAAACAACCAATTAAACGTTTACAATTCTAGACTTAAAAGTTGATCTTTTGATTTAGCCTATTAGCCACGCACATCGAAGTTTGAGAAACTATAATATAAACATATTCATTATGAAGCAGAAACTGAAAAGCAGTGCTGAATGATTGCTGAAAACTTTCTATAACTCTAACTTCTGAAGGCTTAACATGAAGGAAATTTGTTGTTTCTGACATTCCAAGATTTCCTATGGATTATACCAGCTGAAACAACTATTGGTAGCATCCAATGTTACTCTTATGTAGAGCAGACCATAACTAACTTAAGTTGCTTTCATTTCAATTGGTCTACTCTTGGTAGAACTAAAATCGGATGCTGTAATGCACATTTTTTTAAAATCAAATTTTTTAAAAAAATCAGGACAACCCAGGATCCTGCTGTCCTTGGTTATCCAGATTTATGGCTGGTACAGGATCTGACAGCAACTTTTTGCTGGAATCATAGGCTCAGTCCAGGAAACTACATTTCTTGCACTGCTGATGTGGATATACCCATAACAGGCTGTGTTCACAAGGGTATCAGAATACTGGAATATATCCTCTTCCACCTCGTATCGTAGTTTAGCAGATTGGTATTGAAGTTGTGTTCATTTTTCAAACTTTTAAAATATTGTAAATTGAAATATTGTAAATGATTGTATTTGTACTTTATTATTTGCCTATTACTTTATTAGTCTATTACTGTACCTAACACAAGGAGCTTTGATTATAGAGTATTTTAGAAATGAAATAAAGAATAAAATACAGTGGTGCCTTGGCTCACAAACTAAAACTGTTCCAGGACTTTGGTCGTAACCCAAATTGGTCGTGAGCCAAGTTAAATTTCCCCATAAGGTTCAATGTAAATAAGGTTAATCAATTACAGATCAGTTTTTTAAATCAGAAAAATGTGAAGCAAAGTGACAAAGAACAACAAAGATTGCTGCCATTCCCCCCCACCACCACCACCATTCTGGGAGACGGAAAGACAGGCGTGAATGGGGTACGCTGGGGGAGGGAGAGACGGGTGTGATCTCGGCCATCTACCCCCCTGCCGCACGATCGCGGCCATCTCCCCACTCGGCGGGGTGGGTAGATGGCCAAGATTGAGCCCATCTTTCCTACAGGAGTGCTTTTGTGATCACGCATGTCTTTCCTGCAAGAATGCAACTGCAATCGTGGCCATCTCTCCACTTGGGGGGGGGGGGGAGATGGCTGCGATCTTGGTCGCCACCCAATGCAGAGTTCGCGACCCACGTCAAAATTTTCATGAAATTTTTGTTCACAACCCAGTTTGGTTGTGAACCAAGGTGTTCGTGAGCTGAGGTACCACTGTAATATTATAATAATTATTGATGTCAAGCTTGGTGAACAGAATTCCAGAAAGGGCCTAAACAGCTCAATCCATATTTCTTTAACATTAGTTTTCATTCTTTTATTTATATCACGTACATGCAGTTTTAGTACCTTTGTACCTTAATTATTGCATTCTACAATAATTCATTTCAGATACTGAAACAGTTATGAAAAGTGAAACAACCTGGTTTTGTGAATACTATTACTCTACTGCTACTGTATTGCATGCCTGGTATTCAGTACTTGCTTTCCAAAGCAGCAAGCATACAAACAAACAATCAAATTTTACACACTGCACAGGCTAAAAAAATGTAAATTTGAAAACTGGCTGATAGACTAAGATTCAAATACCTATTAATACCATGAATGATATTTCAGAGTGGGAAGAGATACACCTAGTAAGCTAGTTCTTGTATTCCTCACAATGTTTAGGTATAATTTGTGTGAAATTAAATACAACCATACTGTGAAAGCCAAACGTTCTGGCATTTGATTTTTTTTGGGGGGGGGAGGGGGTGGATCAGGCCTGTCTACCATTGATGGATCAGGAAAATCTAGCAGAAACTTTCCTGAAGTCACTGGAAGACCGCAGTGATTACAGGTTACTTTTACTGCTGTTATTAGATTGCATTTATATTCTCCTTTTCTTCTTCATGTAAGGAACCCTAAGCAGTTTATAAAGTTCTCCCCTGCTTCATTTTACCCTCAAAACAACAACCCTGCAAAGGTAGGTTAGGCTGAGTTTCATGGTTGAGTGGGGACTAGAATCTGGAACTCCTGGATCTGGCCAACACTCTAACCACCACACCTCTCTAGCTCTCTATAGTGAAGGATAAAATGGAAAAATACTCTTCCAAGATTTTGATGTTTGAGCATGTTATTGTTTATCTGTTCATACAGTGCAGCCTGCTCCTGCCAAAGTGGCTGGAGCTAGTGACAAAAAACACATTTTTAAAAGAAAAACTCTAATATAAAATATATAATTTGCCAATGAATCAGAAGTATATTTCCCTCCTTCAAACAAGTTAGATTTTCCCTAAAGCCAGTCTCTCCATATGGATGCCAATTCGAAACAAACTTTCCACAGCAAAATGTGTAGCTTATCACATGGATTTCCTTGCAATGAATCCTTCCTTCATTGCAAATGAAGTCACCAGGCTGCAAGTGGCCAAGTTACTGGGGTCAGGTGAACAATTTCCACATTACAGCCACAGTCTATAAAGTCACTACATGAAAGATGCCTCAAATAGCTGCTACACTGTGCAAGTCCCGCGTTATTCAAGAATACCGCCCTGATGCTCTGGAGAGGTTTTGAGGAATGGACTGTAAGCAGCTTCAGAAAAGGAAGAAGAAACAGCAAATGTTCCTTCTATTTGCTTATCTTAAGATGCAATCCATTATAGCAATTTGAACTACATGTGTTCATTTAATTGCAAGGAACAGCAATGAGTGACGGCTGCCATTATGAGTATGCAGGCCCTACACAGAGTTACTGTGGCTTATTGCCCCAGCAAACTCAGCCAGCAGGGTTATTTTAGGGATAAATAACCCCCAACCCAAGGGGGAGATGCAAGTAATGGACAGCATATACATTTTATAAATACATAAAATAAATAAATAAACCCTAACCCTTCAAACAAACCATGGGTTCTGCAAGGGTTGTCTAACCTTGAAATAACCTCTGGAACCTGGGTTTGCACAACATAACAACCTTCAGCCAAGGGCTGCATATTCATAGTGGTGGGTGAGTTAATTAACTCATAAGGACTGTGTCATCTGAACCAAGTCATTGTTAACCTCTTCTAGATTTCAGGACAGGATAGGGAATAAATCAGGCAATTTAAAAACAAAGGATGCAAATATTATGCTATCCTCATTTTTTAAAAGTATGACCCTTACCTGTTTTATAGCTGTTACAGTGATGACAAAGAAAAGTGGAAGTCCACTTGTCACTGGACTAGTTGGTGTGTCAATAATTAACTGGAAAACAAAGAATTAGCACAAGTTTTTACAGAACAGGAAGAACAAATTGAAAAACAAAAGAACTTGAGTTTTCAAGTTGCTCTATTAAACTGCTCCCCAAGCAATAATTGTTCTAAAAATAGTTCCTGTTTCATAGGAACAACAACTTGAACATAAACATAATAAGCACTGATTAACACATCACTTCTGTAACAACTTGGAGAAATTCAGCTATACTCACAAAGTTTAACTTAATAGAAGGCAAGACACTACATATTGCATGGAAATGTGTTTGCCAGTGACTACACAGGGAGCACCAACCATTTATGGCTCTGCCAAATGTATCTATTTAATACATGTGTTTGCAAACAATTGTTTGGTGCACACAGAGTGCAACTTTTTAGGTGGATATAAGATGCAGTGTTTGAAATGGGCAGAGTAATTGCCCATTACTGTAATTACTACCCACAGTAATTCGGACAGAACCACAATAGCTAAAGCTACATAATATAGCTGGACCTGGCAAAGGATGTATTCATTACAGCTCCAACTTGCAATAAAATATTCTCTAATATTTAACCTACATATCATATTGGTTTTGCAGTACATCTAATATGGAATTAATCAAGTAAGAGTTATTTCATATAATTTTAATTTAATACATTTAGACAATCTTAACTCAGTTTTGCCTTGTAAGCAAAAATGACAAGGGTAAGGCTGTCATAGTTAGAACGGCAAGACTTGTCCATCATGAGAAAGCATGATGAAGACAATAATTCTACAGAAATTTGAAGACAGAAGAAGAGGTAATGTTAATGTGAAGTAAATACTCTCCCTTTAATGGGATGTACTTCCTATTAGATATGCTTAGGAAAGCAACCTGGCTTTCAAAATAAATGCCAATACTTTTTAAAATACTGTGTCAGATCTTAGTTGCCTAGCCTATTCCTCCCAAAATTAGTCCTAACTGAAGACTGAAACTTTCAATCTAGGAAGTCCCTTCAGTCATGTATACTCATTTTTTTAATGGAAAGTAAAGAAGCAAGTATACATTACCTGTACAAGGAAAATTATGAGGAAATAAAAGTTTGCTATTCTTCGGAATTGCTCAAATAAATTCTTCGGTACAAAGTTCCAAAATGTGTACTAAAAGATAAAAGTAAGAGGAGTAAAAGAGGAGTGCCTATGATTATATGCTGCATTTAACAATTCATTTAGTACTGATGGTGAAAAACAAAGTAATTACATATAAATTACAGTCCAGAGAAAGTTAATCAAATCTAAATCTTGATTTACACAGGACTTAAGAATGACTAATTTTATCTGGATCTGACAGAACATAACATTTGTTACGATGAGCAAGCACACAACACATCCACAAAGATAATTCCTGATCATGAGGAGATTTCATACACGGAGGCCTATATGACACACCAAATGCCATTACAAAGAAGCTTTGTTAAAAAGAGATGAATTTGATTATCTGAGGAACTTGGGGAGTCTGGAAGGAGCTTGGTTTTGGTATGTAGGTCATGATGTAGTGGTAAACTTTTGAAATACAGGCACTCCTCATGCCAACTCTCAAGAAAAGTAAAAAATGCAGACAGCTGTGTTGAGCTCTCTGTGTGTGTCCCACCATAAGCAGCAATAGCCTGAAGTGCTTGATCTTGCCTAATCTTGGAAGGTAAGCAGCGTTGGGCCTGCTTGAAATCTGGATGGGTGACTTTAAATGCTGTGAACTGCACAGAGAGCTTCAGCTACAGTTTAGAAATGTAATGTAATAATAATTATAATATAATAACACCCAATTAATTAAGATCAGCTGGTAGTCATACGGCAGTAAGATTAGACTAGTGAGAATGGAGAAGCACAGAATAATGAGGCACTGTAACAACATTTTGGACTTAGGTTGGTGTGACTTGATAAAGGGTAAAAGTGAGATATAAGAAATCCTCAAACAACATAAGGCTGCCAGCTCATGATTCAGAAGGTTTTCTTTTTTTCACTACCAGGGAAAAAGTTGATCTCAAATCCAGCAGTTCTAGCTGTTTTCCTCTTCAACAGCAGCAGGACTTTTGTAAAGCCAGCTAGTCTTAATTGCCCATTCAAGACAAAGACATCTCAAAATACTTTGCAGTGTAGTACAGTATATATTGCTGCTGGGAAAACCCATTTCCCCACTGCTATTATGAGGAATGCAGTAGAACTCAGAGGGAACAGAAAGGTCCTAGGAGAGGCCAATTTGACTGTGCTAATCAAAAATTCCCAACACCTGAACCTGCAAGCTCTGGAGAAGAAAAAAGTCAACATTTTGATGGTCCATTAGGCCACCACACAGAAGTAGACCTGGTGTTAAAATCAGCAGGGAGCAAATATCTCACAACTGGCTGGGTGAAAGGCAACTCTTTGAAAAGGGGGATCATGTGGCCTCCACCCAATCAGGAGGTCTAGGGTGGTAGCTGTCACCCTGTTGCAGATAACTGGGAAGGTCTTTTGGCAATTCAAAAAGGCTCCGCCTCTGACCAATCTCTCCCACTGTGGATTTGGCTGCCTAGAAAAGTGGGGGCTTATCAACAGGCCCAGGTCTGGATCACAGGAAGCACATGTTGCTCTCCATACCAGCCTCCCATGGGCATGCCTAATTCTATAGGAACAGAACAAAAATATTAGCCTTTCATTATTATATTTGAGTTGCCACATTCCTTAACAAACTTTGTAGCTGGTTAAACACTTTATTCATGCCTGCATTTTCATTCAGCTTTCAACAGTAAGAGAAAATGTTTCTGTCTACTAGAAATTAGCAGCTTAAATGTTGGATTGGCAATACAGCAGCATCAGCCAGTATCACATGAATGCATGCAACAAAATTCCAAAAAGCTATTCTTAATATCTATCTAGATTTACTGACATGCCTCTGAGCAAGGGAGCTCTCATATGACCTGCAAATGACATTTCCTCTAAATGTTAAGGCAGTAACACAGTCAGACAGCTCTTCTGATATGGTTTTCCAACACATGCAGGCAAAGACCTGATTTGCATGTAATGATGGTAAAACACAGGTTAATTTAACCTACAATTCACAATTATGTTACTATGGGTTATTAACCCATGATTAATCAATAGTATCTGGGTTTGGATGCTATATAGCAAGCCCCAATAGGCCTAACTGGGGGCTGAATATTTAAAAAGACTGTAGAATATGCCTAGCAGATGCTGCAACAAATTGAGAGTTAACTAGGCCATGATATGCCACCTTTACATGCCCTGATGTATTGCCAGAATGAACTACTGCTATGAATTTTATTTTGAAATATAACAAAAAATGCTTTTAAATATAGCAAACAGAAAATAATATTTCACAAAACAATTACATGTGACAAAAAAAGTAAGACATCAAAATTACAATTGACCGTGTGGCTGTCTCAGTAAACATGAATGGGAATCCTGTGGTTTTGTCTAACAAATTTGATGGGTGATGAGGGATGTAACCAGTAGATTCTCAATAGCCTAGAAATTTATCCTTCCTATCTTTAGAAGGTGACATCCATCAGTTTGTGGGAGAGACAGAGAAATGTAGTGTGCTGCAGACTGAACTGGGACAAAAAACAACAGAACATTACCTATGGAACTTTCCTGTTTGGATGTTTTTAGAAAAACTGGATAACTACCTTCTTGGCTTATTAACTCATATTCCTTTTGTCAACAGGCATCACAAGTAAGTTATATTCTAGCACTGCATTCTATCATGGTTACTTTGGGGTATTTTCATTTCTTTTGCTGCTGTTTTTTATTCTGAGTTACAATCTTCTTTACATGCTCCTTTTCTCCCTCTGCTCAAGACTTTGCTGAAGACTTTATCTGTTTTCTCTTCTGAAATACAAATATACTTTCAGAGTGTGTTACAGACCTTCATGCTCAACGCATGAAGCTCAAACTGGCAGCTGGGAATATGCAGATGTTAAGAGCTGGGTTTGTGTGTACATCTGCCTCCCCTTCCACATTTCCCCTTCACATGAACAGGTGAATGCCTCCATAAAGCTATTTGCTCATCACAGGTAAGCTGGTCACTGACAAGCTGTTCTTTTAGTCTCTTGGAAGTTATCATCCATCTAAATTCTGTTTATCCCATTTATTAAATATCTCCTTATGGCAGATTTTTATGGTGCACAGTAGCAGCAAATAAACAGAACAACATGAATTTTAGCTTGTACAGGCAAGTGACAATTTGAGTATTAGCATATTTTAAAGACAGAAAACAAGTTTATATTATATTATGATGTCTTTTCCAAGCTGCTGGTAAACAAGGTAGCTGAGGAAGGGCATAAATAGAACTGTTGGTGAAAAATGGGAAGTGACCTGAGCGAAGTCAAATGTATTATGCAAATTCCCCAGCAATGCTTGTGGGGGACACACACACGCTACCTTTGAGGAGACTATTCTGTTATCCGGATACCTCTGTGGAATGTATGCTTCGGTGCCTGGAGGGGGTTCACGATGCCCAACATAAATAGTCCGATTGTCCACCCAATTCTCTTCTCCAGCACACTGTGAAGGAAAGAATGTGTCACTTTAGTTCAGCAAGTAGTTCAGTATAGATATGAGTCATATACTGAATTGGCTGGCCCTGTCTCTCAGCATCAGTTGATCTTTCATTCCCACATAGCCGTCAAAAATCCATTGCCTAAATCTCTGCCTATCTTCTCTTAAGAAATACTTAGATGACACATTTGAGCGAGCTGTCAAACTTCTCGCTCTAATTGCCTTCAATAAGTCTCTGGCCCTAAAGCAATAAAGGCAAACCCACACAATTCAGTTCTCCTATTCTTAAAGTTGAGTTTTATATGTTGTCCTTGCATTACAAAAAATAAAAAACACACAAGCCATTTTACATATGCAAGGTCTAATCCAAAGAATTCTCCCTAAGGATCTTGCAGGGCTTGTCCCCGAGTTTCTCCACACTTTTTAATACAGTGGAGTGGGAACCACGCCTGACATTCCTACAAGTTTTGAAAGTATCTGGCAGAGAATCAGAGCATTTTTTCCTGAAGAAAGGAATGTGAAGAGTACATCACAATTATTCGTTTATTTAAAGTGCTTATTACCCACCTTTCTGGGCAAAGATCTCCCAAGATAGCTTAAAGAAACTTTAAGTAACTTACAGGACTTTCTTTCATGGCTTCTTGTACTGAGGCCATTAATTAAGAATCATCTAGAATATTCCCACAATCAATCCAAGGATGGGGAATGTATATCCCTCCAAATGTAACTGGAGTGCAACTTCTATCAGCCCTAGCCAACACAGTCAGTGGTGAGGCCTAAGGGGAATTGCTGCTGCTGCTGCTGCTATTTTACATTACATTGTAATAATAGACATTGCATTTCTATACCACCAGTAGCTGGGCAGTTTACAACATTTAAGTCACCTATCCAGATTTCAGCCAACGCCTGATCCTGCTCAGCATCCATGCATAGGCAGGATCAGGCACTTCAGACTATGTGGAAGCTATAGTTTGGCCCAGCAATGTCTGGTGAGGCATACATGCACTCTGTGCCTGCTGCAGGCAGTGGACTTGCCAAGTTGCTTAACTGTGGATTAACATTCTGTCCAATCCATAATATCAATGCAGTATCACTGGAAGTATACCATTCTGCTTTAAAAAGCTGCTTTTTATATTTATTTTACTTTATTTGGAATGGTGTGCTATGGTTTTTCTTCTTCTTTCTTTTCTTTTTTTTGTGTGGAACAATCTGAGATAGTTGTTTAAGGGGCAGTAGAGAAATGAAATGAAAAAAATGAATATACCGTTATAAACCATTCTCTACAAAATGGTATTATATAAATAGAAAGGATGGTAACAGCCAAACTCAGATGCAAATCTCCTTTCAAGAATCCTGAAGAATCAAACTGAGTTTTATCAAGATGCAGACAATAATAGACAGACTGAAATGAAGTTTGGATCAAAGTCATCTTTGGCATAATCAGGTGCAAGCACAAGTCCACCAGCAGTAGTCCAGCATTTTCCTGTGAAGCACAATGGAAATGTTTATTTCCTTCCACAGGAAAACCAGTGAAGTGAAGTGGTCATAGCAACATTCTTCTTATTTCACTTTGAGTAACTTCTACTGCATGGACTTTTCCCTCCCACAAGCTGCCCAACACAATTTGAAAACTTACCCTCTGCAGCTGTTTCCTGTTCAAATTTCATTTTAGTAAAATAAAACATAGTGGGGCTTTTGCTAAGTTACTGATAAGAAAACTATCCTAGATTGTGACTGACAAGGGAAAAGATATTGGCCAGAAAAAGCACAATATGAGGTTATGTTTTCTATTACCATGCAAAGAAAGAATGGCATGATTTTACATAAAGCAGCTAGAAAATGACATTTGAACAGCAAAGAGTTCTGGGGTTGCTATTTATTCCACTTGAGATCATTGTGGTTCTTGCTCTAACTTTTTAAAAAGTCTCTTTCAGCTATGATGGAAAGATTGATAAAGAAAATCATGTTGTGCTTTGTTGAATCACTAATTCAGATTTCTTTGTTGCCTCCTCTCTATATCCCTCTGTCAGACAAACACATCTGTGTCATTGATCCTGGAGACAGAGCACATATATGCCTTTTTTTTTTTTTTTTAAGAGTGGATCCATCTTCCAGAAACTTTCTCAAATCACACATAGTTCTGGATGGAGATTCACATACAGAATCCTGAAATGAGAATTGGCAGATCTCCATGGGCCTCCATTCAAAAACACAAAACAAAAACCACGTTTTATTTGCTATCTTACTGTCCCAACAAGTCTGTCTATTCCAAGAACCATACTACATGCTAAAAAAGTACTAAAAAAGTCTTCTGCAGGGAGACAAATTAGATTCATGGGTCTGATAGCTCTGACTAAAATTGTCATGGTCCCGTCACAGCCCTGCCAAAAGTTGGCTTCCCCAAATTTGCAGTCTGTCTCACAAGGGATGCTCTCATTGGAGTAACAATGATTGCTGTTCAGATAATAGATCCAATGTTAATCTTACTTAAAGTAGATCTATAGAAATGACTGAGACATTTTAGGCCAACACTTTTTAGACTAATCAAAAGGCTTTAGTCCACCTCCAGCCTTGGATGAACTTGCTCACTTGGAGCTCTCCATGGTGCTGCAAACATTTGCTTCATGGTCCTGCTGATGCTGGAGCAGGTTTGGCACAGGGTAAGTGGGTGGATTCGGATCCTGTCACACTCCCAGTGATGTCATATGAAGAGTAAGATTCAGGTTGGACACATAACAAAACTCAGAAACAACCTGCTTTCTGACTTTTAAGGAATATTCCTTGACTGTTCACAACCACTTTGGACACACACACACACACACACACACACACACAGAGAGAGAGAGAGAGAGAGAGAGAGAGAGAGAGAGAGCTGTGTCCCTCACTGATGTCTATGCAGATTTTCTGTACAGAAAATCAGCAACATTGATTATATATGCCTATTTAAACACTTTGGGTTCCACACACAGATACACACACCACAGTATAATTTTTAAAAAGTTAGCATTCTAACATGCACAAATGTATTTATGAATTTTAAAAATATTTAATGGAATATAAATTGTGCAAATAAATGAATGAATAAAGCCACAACATATTTCAAAACATATTTGCAAGTAATTTGCATTGTACAATCAAGACTGCAATCAGTACCTTCAACAAAAGTAGTACAATACGTAAAGAGGACAAAACATTATTAAAGCTATTATTGCACACATTTCTTCTGAAAAGGAAACTACATAGATAAGAGGATAGGAGCAAACCTGCTCTGCTAGACTGCTTAACAGCAATAAACAGAATATAAACATATTATTTATAAGCTGCTACTATGTTTATCCTACCCACCCAAAAAAGAGAACAGAAATATTTTATCTCTGCATGCTATCACCCTACAAATTGACACTGTGAACCTGGGGTGTGAAGAAAGGGTGAGAGGAAGGAAAGCAACCAAGTGGTCAGTGCAGTGAAGTATATCCATCATTTTATATGCTATTATTTAAGCCCATTAAAGGTACATCCAAGAAACCATAAATAAACCTAAGCATTATGAGTTTCTAATAATAACCTAAAGCTCAATGTACCGAAACCCAGTTTCACTGGCACACCAGTGAAGAAGCATTACTTATGTTCTCTTCTTGCTTCAGCATGGTCAGCAAATATAGAACCAAAAAGATCCATTAAGCTGCCTTTACTTCCCATCCGAAAGGACAGCTTCAAGAATCTTCTCTTCATCAAATGTGAATGGCAAAGGAATAACAATTTATAGATAACTTTCATGTCTGTTTAAGGACATGAAAAGTTTAATGAAATTGAAAACTTTAAAAAGTAAGGTGAGGTATGAAATAGTCCCATGTAGTGCAGATAGATCACTCTGGTGAAGCATCAGGTTTCCTTGGGATTCTTCTTTTTAATAATAAACTTGGGAAATAACACAGAAACAACTTAAATACTCCACTGATATTACTAAAGATGAACAGTCACATTAGTCTCTTGTAGCAAAAGCAGACTGGGTAACCCTTTTAATGTGCCAAGCAATAATTGACTAGTACATTTATTTTACTTGATTTTTTAAGAAGTACTCTGGTTCTCTCTCTCAGAATACACAGATTTTTGACATGACATATTTCAGGGGGTGGGGAATTAAAGCACACTTCGGGCATGATCCTATGCATGTAAGACAGAAACAAAATCTTACCACTTCATGCTGCCTGGGGAATGGTGGGAATTGTAGGGCTTTTTCTGCCTAAACATGCGTAAAACTGCACACTTATGGTGATTTAAATACCAAATTATGTAGAAATACCAAGTATGTTTTATTGGAAATGGCATCTACTTATGGTCATGAATGAACTTGCTTGGTGGAATTTCTGCTATGAAAAAGGAAAATATTCCATGCACATCATGTACATCATGGATTGTATGTTGTAAAAATCAGAGTTCTTAATCATATGAAGGGCTTCCATATAGAGAAAGCTTTCCTTGTCAGACAGTCACATGCCATGAGGTTAATGAACACAATGGAAGAGAGCAGCAGGGCTGAAGGTCTCCTTTCTACTCACACAGTTTTAAATCTTGAACATCTCGAACATCTCAATAGAGATATAGATACCCTTCATTCTGAATGGTCACAGGAACCATGATTCATGCTCAGTTCGCACCTTACCTTCTCCCTCTAGTCCTGCTTGTCAGCCTCTCCTGCTCCCAGAAGTCTGCAGACACTGTATAACTTTACCATTATGATAACTGAAGTCGGGGGTTGCAACCTGGTGCCCTCCAGGTGTGTCAAACTACATCTCCACCATATGTTACCATCAGCCCTGCTGGCTGGGACTTATGGAAATTGAAGCCCAAAATATCAGGAGGGAATCAGGTTGTCTATTGCTGCCTCAGTCAGGACAACAGAAGAGGCATCATTCTTAAAGTATTAAATCAAAATGAACCTCTTGCAGCAAAGTATAGTTACTTTGATGCAGTGCCTGGTTTCTGCTCACAGATCAGTCTGAGCA